AGGTTTCTGAGGAATCTCCAGACTGACTTCCATAGTGGCTTCACCAGTTTGCATTCCCACCAACAGTGGGTTAGTGTCCCTTTTTCCCCACATCCTCGCCAGCATCTGTTGTTGGTAGATTTCTGCATGTGAGCCATTCTAACCAGGGTGAGGTGAAACCTCATTGTGCTTTTGATTTGCATTTCCCTGATTGCTAATGACCTTGAACATTTTTTCATGTGCCTGTTGGCCATTTGGATTTCCTCTTTTGAAAAATGTCTATTGAGGTCCTTGGCCCATCTCCTAAGTGGGTTGTTGGTTTTGTTTTTGTGGAGTTTCTTGATCTCTTTGTAGATTCTGGTTATGAACCCTTTATCTGTTGCATAGTTTGCAAATATTTTTTCCCATTCTGTCAGTTGTCTCTTCACTCTCCTGACTGTTTCATTTGCAGTACAGAAACTTCTCAATTTGATGCAATCCCAATTGTTGATTTTGGCTTTGACTGCCTGTGCTTCCCGGGTCTTTTCCAGAAATTCTTTGCCTGTGTTTACTAAGTTAAAATTTCAACAATTTGCAAACACACACACACACAGACACACAGTTTAAGAACTAGTTTTACAGTTAACTCCCATAATGGAATTCATTGAAGACAGAGGTCCTGCATGGGGAGTTAGTGTGCAGTAACTCATGTTGTTAATTTAACAATCAATACTTTTATGTATGATGTCAGTGACCACTCCAGGCTCTTGACATGAGCTGCCTAGGCTATGGAAGCTTTTTGAGTCCACAAACTTCATCAGTATTTGGACAAGGCCATATGCAAAAGGGAAGTTCTCTTCTCCCTTTAGAGAAAAGTAAATCCTTTTTTGATGCCCACTTCTTTACTCTGGGTTCTCACTCACAGAGATCCTTCATATAGAACATTTTTTACCACATTGTCTTGGCTTTCCATGCCTGAAATGCTCTCATGGGCTTTTCAACCAGACCAGGAAGCCTTAAGGACTGATTCTGAAGTCAGAGTGTTAAAGTGATTGTCATTCTATGCATCTACTGTGTAGACTGCTTCTCAGTTAGAACATTCTCTCCTTTTAAATTCTATTATTATTATTATTACCAGGCACTTGATCCTATTTATATGATCACTCTAAACACTTAATCCTATATGTTCACTTGATTTCTACCTCCTTATTGAATTTTTTATTCATACCATCTATTGCTTTCCTCATTTCTTTAAACTATCTTTATTTCTTGCATCTCAATGAGTTTCCTTAGAATTATTATTTTGACTCTTTTCTTCAGGTATTTCATATATTTCCTTCAGATCAGGATCTATTTCTGGAGAACTATTCTGTTCTTTTGAAAGTGTCATGTTCCTCTGCTTCTTTGTATTCCTTTTGCCCCAATTTTTATATTTGTGCATTCCTTTTTTTTTTTAATGGAGCAGGTTTCATTTGAAACTAATTTTTTGTTTAGATGGAATGTAGAATGAAACTTAGGTTGTTGCTTTGGCCTTGGTTCTGAGGTGAGCCCAGAAATGTAACTTCTTTTTCTTTTATTTAAATATTTATATATTTGAAAGGCAGGGTGGCTGGGAGAGATAGAGAGAAGAGATAGAGATGCTCCATCTGGTGATTCATTCCCTAAATCACCATAAAGGCCAAGGCTGGACCTGGCTAAAAGCAGGATCCAGGAGCTTGGAACTCCATCTGAGTCTCCCACACAGGTGGCAGGGTCCCAAGCACTTGGACCATTCTTTGCTACTCTCCCAGGCATATTAGCAGGGAGCAGGATGGGATGGAACTGGAGAAGCTAGTACTCCAACTGGTACTCTTATGTGATGCTGCCATAGCACGCAGCAAGTTAACCTGCTGTGCTAAAACACTGGCCCTGAAATGTAATTTCTGAGTGACTTCTTCAGCAGTAATCTGTGTCAGCAGTGTCTGCCAGTGCCACAGTTGTCTAGTCTGCATTAGCTTGTGGAGCATGTAGTATGACTTTGAAGGTGATGTGTACTTTCAAAATTATGTGTCTTTAGTCCCTGGAGAATTGGGCATATGATACACAGAATGGTCTGTCTCTTTGTCCATTCAGGTAAGCCCAAGTGATGCTGGGACTTGTGGCACCTAAAGTTATGGCTCTTAGACTGTGTGAGGTGGATAGGACCTTCCTCAGATTCTCTATTTTGTGTGACTAATACTGGGGCTTATGGTACCAAGATCCCAAGTCCCAGAACTGGGAAGACACACTAAGAGAGGAACTTACTCCAGTGCCACAAGTTGAATATGGATTATTCTAATGAATGCATACTGGCAGATATCAATCTAGAGCAATAGAATGAAGGTAGGTGCTTCTCTGGGTCCCAACAGAATATGTTCAGGTGACTCTGAAGAATATAGTTCCCCCTGGGTCATAGATTAATGATCACAGCCCTGGAGTTGCAGGAAACAGTAGGGTCCCCAATCCAGCTCTCACATGGTGAATGAGAGTTATGCTGGCGATTGTGGACTGGCAGTTAACAGCCTGAAGCCAAGGAATGCAGATAAGGCCCTCTCAATCCCACAGGTGAGTGCCAGTTACTCCAGAGACTATAGTACCAACAGCAATAGTCCTAGAGTTGAAGGCACAGAGGGGACTTCCCCTAGTTCCCACGTGGCAGGCAAAGGTGGCACTGGGGCCTGTGTTCTGGGCTCCAGGCAGCCTGTGGTAAAAGCTGCAGAAGGGGGTTGGTGAACAGCCCCAAGAAACCCAGGGGGAACTTGAGCCAGCAAGTATAGCGCCATGGCTGTGCCCAGAGCTCCTGCATTAGGTCTGCGGAACTCTCATAGCTAGGGCTGCCTCACTACAGCAATATAGGGGGTTGTGACACTTTCTGCTTGCCTCTTCCTGGCAAGATGACATCTCCTTTCAGGGCAACTGGGGAAAGGGTGGTGGATGTTGGCACTGGGAGGCATGCTTCATGTCCCTCTTTCTAGGGGCCCTCCGAGTCTCTGTGGTGTTAGCAGATCTTGCCATTTTTTAAATCGAAGTTTTTCAATTAGTCTCCTCAATTCTAATGTTGGATATATAGAATACTTTTGCTGGCAAGGTGGCATCCCTCAGCTGGGGAGCCAGGTAGGAGCTATGGGTAGTGACAGTGGGCAGCAGTAGTGGCATGCATTGTATTTCTCTCTCTGCTCCTTTGTGGGGTCTCTATGCCATTTGCAGTTCTTGTCACTTCTGCACTGAAATATTCCTTCAATCTCCTCAGTTCTAATATTTTATATATAAAACCCTTTTCTCAGCAAGACAGCACCCCTGGAAGGGGTGATGTGATAGGAGTGGCAGAAGCAGTGGTGTGCTCTCTCTCTCTCCCTCTCTCTTCTGTTTTTTGAAGTCCCCATGCCATTTACTGCTCCACTCATTTCTTTACTAAAGCTTTCCCTCAGTCAAGGTACTGGAAATGCAGTTCTTCCACTTTTTCTGAAACTTTTTTTCTAGCTGAGGTGGATAAAGATCCTGTCTATTAAGCCATCTTGATCCCTCCTTCATAGTGACTTTTTTTATTTGACAGATAGAGTTAGGCAGTGAGAGAGAGAGAGAGACAGAGAGAAAGGTCTTCCTTCTGTTGGTTCACTCCATAAATGGCCAGCACAGCTGGCGCTGCGCCTATCTGAAGCCAGGACCCAGGTGCTTCCTCCTGGTCTCCAATGCGGGTGCAGGGGCCCAAGGACTTGGACCATCCACCCCTGCCTTCCCAGGCGACAGCAGAGAGCTGGACTGGAAGAAGAGCAACCAGGACTAGAACCCAGCACCCATATGGGATGCCAGCGCCGCAAGCAGAGTGAACCATGGCACCAGCCCCCATAGTCTGACTTTTGGGAAAGTTTCCTTCAAGTTTTGGGCAGCAGTGGTCCTAGTCTACAAATTGCACATACTTCACCTGGGAAGGGACAATTGCTACATGGTGACACCAGCAGGTCCCAGTCACAAGCTCATCTGAAGGTCTCCCAGATGTCCTTCCTACTTCTCTGTCCCTCACTCCATTTTCACATTTATTTCTTTTCTTTGAACACAACTCTTCAGTGCATTCAATCTCTTCCCATCCTCTGAAATATCAAAGGAAAAGACAACTTTCTCCATGCCCACCATAAAGTAGCACAGGGTAGCAGAGAAGGATGTGCAATTTGGAGCTAGAATGCCCAGGTTCAAATCTTTCCTGCTTCATCAACTGGGGATTCTAGAAGTTTCTTAACGTCTCAAAATCTTTTACTTGTACTTTTGAAAAATGAGATGAATAATAGTGTCATAGTGTGATTATGAGGGTAGAATTACACAATACTGATAAAATTGCTAAAGCAATGCCTAGTAGATAGTGTTTACTCATTATGCCTTTTAAAAAATGAAGTTAACCCTGCTACATCTTTTTGTACATTGACATTTTCTTACTTCCTCAGAAACCATCTTCCATGCATAGTTACCAATTTTCCCAAATAATTTCAGACTCTATCATGCATGGAAGTGATAGCCAGAGAGTACATGTTTGATCCAATGTCATGCAAATCGGTAGTGGCAATTTTAGGCTAGAAGTCAGGCCAACTAATTTCTCAGTCAGTGAAACTACCGTGGTGTTATTATATGTCCCACCTTAACATAACTTATTTTATACCCAGTTGCTTGATCAGATGTCTTATACCATTCTGAACTACGAAATGCCTATCTGGTCAGGGCAGTCATTTGACCTGGCATTAAAGGTCCTTTGTAAAACATGTTTCCATTCAGAAATGTTTCACATTCTTCTTGTCAATAAACTATTATCAAAAAAAAATTTGCGGTGGGATAAAGCTTTCTTGCATTGCAATTATATTACTTTGTATATTCTGAGGTTCTATAGGATTGAGGCTGCTTTGAATCACTCCCAATTTTACCCTATGAGGTCTTACCTCTACTGAATGTCATTATTTGTTCACTGCAAATACATGGTACAAGGCAAGTCATAAGTGAGCATGGGGTAAATTTCCATGGAATGAAGAAAGAATCAGTGGTAGAGATTCCTTAGACATGCATATTTATTTAACAAGCTTGTTCACTATCTATACTGCAGAGACTAGACAATCCTTTTAAGGGTTGGTCTGGAGATTTCAGGAAAACCTTGTTAAGAGAAATGAGTCTCAAACATTTGATTGCTCTGTGTCTGTGGAGAGAAGAGGAAAGCACACAATATGAGTTAGAACTTTTCAAGGAGGGAATATAATTATAATTGGGTAAGGATATCAGGGCTTGTTAAAAGAAACCGAACTGGCAATAGTTGAGAATGGGATCCATCAGATATTAGCCTTAAATAAGTATTAATTCTTCTGATATAGGAATTAGAGAAGTCTTCCAGAGTGTTAATGCTCTACTCCCAAGATGTACATTTCTGTATTATAGGGCAATGTGAACAATCTGAGATCAATTCAAAGATGTAGATGATTTTATGTTTAGGAGGAGTGGTTTTGACCTTCAGTGCAAATGACTTGCCTGTGTTGCAGGGGGCACTGTATTCAGCAAAAGCTGCTTCATCTGAAAGAAACAACAGAACAGCTTGAAATTAGGAGCTGCAGAGGGACAGAGTTTTGTGAGAGGCTTTGACACATTAGGACTGCAAACTGTCCTGAGTCATAAATTGCACAACTGCAGAAATGTCAGCTTTCTAGGGAAATAGGAAATTTCTACTTTTGATATCTTTGATATACTCCTAGGAGAGAATCACTGTGGGTATGTACACTTTCAGTTATCCTTCCATATTTGGTTATTTTATTCTTTCTTCTTTAAAAAGGATTTGAAATTTATTTATTGACAGAGAGAGAGAGCGAGAGAGGGTGAGAGAGAGAAAGAGAGCACAAGAGAGAAATTTTCCATGGTATTGCTGAGGCCAAAGTCTTGAATGAGCCAGGAATTCAATCCATCTCTCTTCATGTGGGTGGCAGGAGCTCAATCACTTGGGCCATGACCCAGGATTCACATTAGCAGGAAGCTGAAGTTAGGAGCTGTAACTGGGAATGAAAACCAGGCACTCCAAAGTGGGAAACAGGCATCTTAATCACCTGGTTAAATGCCCGTCCCCATAACACATCTTACATTTTTCTCCTAGTCTGAAACACTTGGCCTGTTCCTCTCCACCAATCATAATAATAGCCATATTTTAGTCTCCAACTCAAAAGTTACTTTCTTTGGTCTTAGTGTGATCACTTGGGTTTTGATTCACTCCATCTCTAATCTCCTATTATAATTACTTGTATGCTATTATTCCTAAGGCTCTTCTTCATTGGCTTTCATTGCTATATTATCTTTTAAAAGAGATTTATGTATCCTTTTGTAGCACTTGTTTATAAAACTCTTGGAATATTTTGCATCATTGATAGTCTTATAGGTCATTTTTAGAATAGGTTTATAGGCCAAGAAGACAAGAATATTGTCTAGGTGACAGAACAAACTGCAAAAACAACTTAAAAATATTTACCACATTCTGGCAGAGCCACGATGGCGGAATAGTGAGGGCGCGCACTGATAGTCCGGGAAGATAGTTTAATAAATGTGGAATTACTGTAGCCTCAGGAAAATGCTCAGGAAAAAATTGCAGAGGAAACTCTTCTGGATCTAGTGGATGTGACATGGAGGACCAACAGGGAGAGCAAGGTCGCCCGCCACGTGGAAGCCAAGCTGCGGGATCGAGCCACAGAAGCCAAGCCACAGAAGCCGAGCTGCAGGGTCTGCACGCTAGCGCTGGAAGGGGAGGTGAGACAAAAACCTCGGTAACCCGAGACATTGGTGGGGAAAGGCAGAAAGAGCCTACAGGGAACAAGGCCTGAAGCCCCACTGGGGAAAGTTCACCAGGCTGACTGGAAGAGAGAAAAAAAGGAATAAATTAGGGGAACTGGCACGGACATTATCCTCTCTCTCCACTCACCTTACAAAGCCGAGCAAGACAAAGAGTAGGCACCATTTTATGTATGTAAAGCAGCGCCCGCCATTAGCCAAGCAGAAAAACCTGACTCTGGTGGGGAGAAATAACAGGAGGTTAAGACCTAGTGAAAGTGTGGAGCTAACAACCTGAGACTGTGAAAATCTGAGGGGGTGGCGAGAGAACTCATCGAGTACACAAACTTGGTAACCTGGGCAACCTGGTGAGAGACTGCAGAGAAAATTGAGGCCACACTGAGGGCTGCATAAACTCTTTGTGTGGTCCCAGGGGTAGGCAGACAAATACCCACAGGGTCCAGATTTCATACATCAACTACCCTCAATTCCACTCAGCTGTGTGGAATTACTTCCCAACTGAGTCAAAAAAAAAAAAAAAAGAAGAGAGAGCGAGAGAAGAATCTGGGTGAGTCACCTTTGGCACACCCTTAACCCTGAAGAACCAAACAGAGCTCTCTGGACACACCCATCTCAGACTCTAAGAATCCATCAAAAGCAGACAGTCCACTTAATCTAGAGTCACAGTATAATGAGAACAAACACCACACTGAACAAACCAAAGAATATCTCCAGTATGCCAAACAACAAATGCAGAAACTGAGGCAACAATAACAAGGAAGACACTATGATGCCCCCAAATGAAATAGACACCACAATTCAAGATTATGAAGATGATGAGATAGAAGAAATGCAAGAAGCAGATCTCAAAAAATTGAGAAGAACATTAAGAAGTTCTCAAAAACAAATTCTTGAACTACAGAAATTCTTAATGGAAAAAATAGAAAATCTCTCTCACGAAAATGAAATATTAAGGAGGAATCAAAATGAAATGAAACAACTGTAGAACATGAAACTGTGATAGTGATGAGAAATCATAATGAAATGAATTCAATAGATCAAATGACAAACACATTAGAGAGCCTTAAAAACTGAATGGGTGAAGCAGAAGAGAGAATATCAGACTTAGAAGACAGAGCACAGGAAAATATACAGTCAGACCAAAGAAAAGAAGAGGAAATTAGAAATCTAAAAAACATTGTCGGGAATCTTCAGGATACTATTAAAAAAACCCAACATTCCAGTTCTAGGAGTTCCTGAAGGCATGCAGAGGGAGAAAGGATTAGAAGGCCTTTTTAGTAAGATACCAGCAGAAAATTTCCCAGGTTTGGAGAAGGACAGAGACATCCTAGTACAGGAAGCTCATAGAGTCCCTAATAAACATGACCAAAAGAGATCCTCACCACGACATGCTGTAATTAAACTCACCACAGTGAAACATAAAGAAAAGATCCTAATATGTGCAAGAGAGAAACGTCAGATTACTCTCAGAGGATCTCCAATCAGACTCACAGCTGACTTCTCATCAGAAACCCTACAAGCTAGGAGGGAATGGCGAGATATAGCCCAGGTACTAAGAGAGAAAAACTGCCAGCCCAGAATATTACATCCTTCAAAGCTCTCATTTGTGAATGAAGGTGAAATAAAGACCTTTCATAGCAAACAGAAATTGAAAGAATTTGTCACCACTCATCTACCCCTGCAAAAGATGCTTAAAGATGTGTTACACAGAAACACAGAAACATGGTCATCAATATGAAAGAAGGTGAAGGAAGGAAACCTCACACCAAAAGATCACAGGAAGTTCAAAACATATATTAGAAAATATCTTTGGCAAATGGCAGGGCAAAGATATTACTTATCAATAGTCACATTGAACATTAATGGCCTCAACTGTCCAGTTAAAAGACACCGATTGGCTGATTGGGTTAAGGAACAAAACCCATCTATTTGCTGCTTACAAGAAACACATCTTTCCAACAAAGATGCATACAGACTGAAAGTGAAAGGCTGGAAAAAGATATTCTATGCCAACAGAAATGAAAAATGAGCGGGCGTAGCCATCTTAATATCGGACAACATAAACTTTACCACAAAAACTGTTAGGAGAGACAAAGAGGGGCACTATATAATGAATAAGGGATCAATTCAACAGGAAGATATAATGATTATCAATGTATATGCACCTAATTACAGGGCAATGGTTTATTTAAAAGATTTGTTAAGGGACTTAAAGGGAGACTTAGACCCCAGTACAATAGTACTGGGGGACTTCAATACTCCACTCTCAGAAATAGACAGATCAACAGAACAGAAGATCAACAAGGAGACAGTAGATTTAAATGACACTATAGCCCAAATGGATCTAACAGATATCTACAGAACTTTTCATCCTACACAGAAAGCATTTACATTCTTCTCAGCAGTACATGGAACCTTCTCAAGGATTGATCACATACTAGGCCATAAAGCAAGTCTCAGCAAATTCAAAAGAATTAGAATCATACCATGCAGCTTCTCAGACCAAAAAGGAATGAAGTTGGAAATTAGCAACTCAGGAATCCCTAGAGCATATGCAAACACATGGAGATTGAATAATATGCTCCGGAATGAACAATGGGTCATAGAAGAAATTAAAAGAGAAATCAAAAATTTTCTGGAAGTAAATGAGGATAACAACACAACATATCAAAACTTATGGGATACAGCAAAAGCAGTGTTAAGAGGAAAGTTTATCTCCATAGGTGCCTAATCAAGAAATTAGAAAGGCACCAAATAGATGAGCTTTCAATGCATCTCGAGGATCTAGAAAATCTGCAGCAAACCAAACCCAAATCTAGTAGGAGAAGAGAAATAATTAAAATCAGAGAAGAAATCACAGGATTGAATCCAAAAAAAATTACAAAAAATCAGCCAAGTGAAGAGCTGGTTTTTTGAAAAAATAAACAAAATTGACACCCCATTGGCCCAACTAACTAAAAAAAAGAAAAGACCCAAATCAATAAAATCAGAGATGAAAAAGGAAACGTAACAACAGACACCACAGAAATAAAAAGAATCATCAGAAATTACTACGAGGACTTGTATGCCAGCAAACAGGGAAATCTATCAGAAATGGATAGATTCCTGGACACATGCAACCTACCTAAATTGAACCAGGAAAACATAGAAAACCTAAACAGACCCATAACTGAGACAGAAATTGAAACAGTAATAAAGGCCCTCCCAACAAAGAAAAGCCCAGGACCAGATGGATTGACTGCTGAATTCTACCAGACATGTAAAGAAGAACTAACTCCAATTCTTCTCAAACTATTCAGAACAATCAAAAAAGAGGGAATCCTCCCAAATTCTTCCTATGAAGCCAGCATCACCTTAATTCCTAAGCCGGAAAAAGATGCAGCATTGAAAGCAAATTACAGACCAATATCCCTGATGAACATAGATGCAAAAATCCTCAATAAAATTCTCGCCAATAGAACGCAACAACACATCAGAAAGATCATCCACCCAGACCAAGTGGGATTTATCCCTGGTATGCAGGGATGGTTCAATGTTTGCAAAACAATCAATGTGATTCACCACATTAACAGACTGCAAAAGAAAAACCATATGATTATCTCAATAGATGCCGAGAAAGCATTTGATAAAATACAACACCCATTCATGATGAAAACTCTAAGCAAACAGGGTATGGAAGGAACATTCCTCAATACAATCAAAGCAATTTATGAAAAACCCACGGCCAACATCCTATGGAATGGGGAAACGTTGGAAGCATTTCCACTGAGATCTGGTACCAGACATGGATACCCACTCTCACCACTGCTATTCAATATAGTTCTGGAAGTTTTAGCCAGAGCCATCAGGCAAGAAAAAGAAATTAAAGGGATACAAATTGGGAAGGAAGAAGTCAAACTATCCCTCTTTGCAGATGATATGATTCTTTATTTAGGGGATCCAAAGAACTCTACTAAGAGACTATTGGAACTCATAGAAGAGTTTGGCAAAGTAGCAGGATATAAAATCAATGCACAAAAATCAACAGCCTTTGTAGACACAGGCAATGCCATTGCTGAGGAAGAACTTCTAAGATCAATCCCATTCACAATAGCTACAAAAACAATCAAATACCTTGGAATCAACTTAACCAAGGACGTTAAAGATCTCTACGATGAAAATTACAAAACCTTAAAGAAAGAAATCGAAGAGGATACCAAAAAATGGAAAAAACTTCCATGCTCATGGATTGGAAGAATCAACATCATCAAAATGTCCATTCTCCCAAAAGCAATTTACAGATTCAATGCAATACCAATCAAGATACCGAAGACCTTCTTCTCAGATCTGGAAAAAAAGATGCTAAAATTCATATGGAAACACAGGAGATCTCGAATAGCTAAAGCAATCTTGTACAACAAAAACAAAGCCAGAGGCATCACAAACCAGATTTCAGGACATACTACAGGGCAGTTGTTATCAAAACAGCATGGTACTGGTACAGAAACAGATGGATAGACCAATGGAACAGAATAGAAACACCAGAAATCAATCCAGACATCTACAGCCAACTTATATTTGATTAAGGATCCAAAACCAATACCTGGAGTAAGGACAGTCTATTCAATAAATGGTGCTGGGAAAACTGGATTTCCACGTGCAGAAGCATGAAGCAAGACCCCTACCTTTCACCTTACACAAAAATCCACTCCACATGGATTAAATACTTAAATCTACAACCCAACACCATCAAATTATTAGAGAGCATTGGAAAAACCCTGCAAGATATAGGTACTGGCAAAGACTTCTTGGAAAATACCCCAGAAGCACAGGCAGTCAAAGCCAAAATTAACATTTGGGATTGCATCAAATTGAGAAGTTTCTGTACTGCAAAAGAATCAGTCAGGAAAGCAAAGAGTCAACCGACAGAATGAAAAAAAATATTTGCAAACTATGCAACAGATAAAGGGTTTATAACCAGAATCTACAAAAAAATCAAGAAACTCCACAACAACAAAACAAACAACCCACTTAGGAGATGGGCCAAGGACCTCAATAGACATTTTTCAAAAGACGAAATCCAAATGGCCAACAGACACATGAAAAAATGTTCAAGATATTTAGCAATCAGGGAAATGCAAATCAAAAGCACAATGAGGTTTCACCTCACCCCAGTTAGAATGGCTCACATTCAGAAATCTACCAACAACAGATGCTGGAGAGGATGTGGGGAAAAAGGGACACTAATCCACTGTTGGTGAGAACGCAAACTGGTTAAGCCACTATGAAATCAGTCTGGAGATTCCTCAGAAACCTGGATATAACCTTTTCATACAACCCAGCCATCCCACTCCTTGGAATTTACCCAAAGGAAATTAAATTGGCAAACAAAAAAACTGTCTGCACCTTAATGTTCATTGCAGCTCAATTCACAATAGCTAAGACCTGGAATCCACATAAATGCCCATTAACAGTAGACTGGATAATGAGATTATGTGAATGTACTCTATAGGATACTATACAGCAGTCAAAAACAATGAAATCCGGTCATTGGCAACAAGATGGAGGAATCTGGAAAACATCATGCTGAGTGAAATAAGCCAGTCCCAGAGGGACAAATATCATATGTTCTCCCTGATCAGCAAGAACTAACTGAGCACCAAAGGGGAAACCTGTTGAAGTGAAATGGACACTATGAGAAACAGTGACTTGATCAGCTCTTGTCCTGACTGTTGATGTACAATGTAATACTTTATCCATTTTAGTATTTTTTTTGTTCTAGTACTATTGGTTGAACTCTGTAATTAACACACCATTATTCTTAGGTGTTTAAATTGTAACTGAAAAGTGATCCCTGTTAGGAATTTGGAAAACATTATGCTGAGTGAAATAAGGCAGTCCCAAAGTGACAAATATCATACGTTCTCCCTGATCAGTGACAACTAACCGAGCACCAAAAAGGAAACCTTTTAAAGTGAAATGAACACCATGGGAAATGGTGACTTGATCAGCCCTTGCCCTGACTGTTAATGAACAACTTAATAAGTTATCCCTCTTAGTGTTTTTTTTTGTTTGTTTGTTCTACTTAATACTTTTGTTTGAATTCTGTAATCAATACACAGTTATTAAGATCTAAGATCACTGAAAAGTGATCCCTGTTAAATACAAGAGTGGGAATAAGAGGGGGAAGAGATGTGCAATTTGGGACATGCTCAAGCTGACTTGCCCCAAACGGTAGAGTTAGAAACATACCAGGGGATTCCAATTCAATCCCATCAAGGTGGCATGTACCAATGCCATCTCACTAGTCCAAGTGATCAATTTCTGTTCACAATTGATTATAATGATAGGACTAAGAGCCAAAGGGATCACATAAACAAGACTAGTGTCTGCAAATGCTAACTGTTAGAATAAAAAAGGGAGAGAACGATCCAACATGGGAAGCGAGATACACAGCAGACTCATAGAATGGCAGATGTCCTAAACAGCACTCTGGCCTCAGAATTAGCCCTTAAGGCATGTAGATCTGACTGAAAAGCCCATAAGAGTATTTCAAGCATGGAAAGCCAAGCACTCTGGCAAAAAAAAAAAAATGACCTAAATGAAAAATCTCCACGAATGAGATCCCAGTAGAAAGAACAGGTCATCAAAGAAGGAGGTACCCTTCTTTGAAGGGAGGAGAGAACTTTCACTCTGACTACGACCTTGTCTAAATATGATTAGAGTCAGTGAACTCAAAAGGCTTCCATAGCTATGCAACTCATGACAAGAGCCTAGGGTGATTACTGATGCCATAAACAAGAGTGTCAATTTGTTAAGTCAACAACAGGAGTCACTGTGCACTTACTGCTCATGTAGGATCTCTGTCGTAAATGTGTTGTACATTGTGATTTAATGCTATAACTAGTACTCAAACAGTATTTTTCACTTTGTGTTTCTATGTGGGAGCAAACTGTCAAAATCTTTACTTAATATATATTAAACTGATCTTCTGTATATAAAGAGAATTGAAAATGAATCTTGATGTGAATGGAAGGGGAGAGGGAGCGGGAAAGGGGATGGTTGCAGGTGGGAGGGAAGTTATGGGAGGGGGAAGCCATTGTAATTCATAAGTTGTACTTTGGAAATTTATATTCATTAAATAAAAGTTTAAAAAATATTTACCACATTCTAATTCCTTTATTATGAATTGGTAATTTATTTAGGATTCTTTGTACTATCTTACTCACCTGTCTCATAGTAATCATAGACTTTCACAAGTGCAGGTTTCAGGTTTCTTACAGGGATGTCTTGCAGAACAGTGAAAGAAAAGTTCAACATCTGATTGGTAACCTAAGAAAGGAAAGAGTAACACTCTAGAACCTGGGAGGCCTCATTTTTTTTCTTTTACATGACTCTGTTTCATCCTCTGAGAAATAACTCTAAGTTGGCAGATGATGTTCACTTTCAACCTCACTGTGCCTCTAACTGCTCACACATGTGGTTGGAAACCAAGAGTCAAGAGTATAAAACTGAGCAACTAGAGCAGAGGGTCTAAGAGCAGTTGAGAAATTTATGCCTTTTAAATAATTAAAGTATCTTGGCTTTCCATGCCTGAAATACTCTCATGGGCTTTTCAGCCAGATCCGAATGCCTTTAGGCCTGATTCTGAGGCCAGAGTGCTATTTAGGACATCTGCCATTCTATGAGTCTGCTGAGTATCTCACTTCCCATGTTGGATCACTCTCCCCTTTATTTATTCTATCGGTTAGTGTTAGCAGGTACTAGACTTGTCCATGTGCTCCCTTTGACTCCCAGTCCCTCCACCATGACCAACTGTGAACTGAAACTGATCACCTGGAACAGTGAGATGGCATTGGTACATGCCACCTCGATGGGATTGAATTGGAATCCCCTGGTATGCTTCCAACTCCACCACTTGGGGCAAGTCAGCCTGAGCATGTCCCAAATTATACATCTCTTCCCTCTCCCATTCCCACCACCATGTTCAACAGGGATCACATTTCAGTTAATTTTCAACACTTAAGAATTACTGTGCATCAATTACAGATCTAAACCAGTCATATTAAGTAGAACAGATAAAAAAACTACTAAGAGGGATAATGTATTAAGTTGTTCATTAACAGTCAGGGCTATGCTGATCAAGCCACTGTTTCCCATAGTGTCCACCTCACTCCAACAGGTTTCCCTCTTGGTGTTCAGTCAGTCGTCACCGATCAGGGAGAACATATGGTATTTGTCCCTTTGGGACTGGCTTATTTCACTCAGCATGATGTGTTCCAGATTCCTCCATTTTGTTGCAAATGACTGGATTTCGTTGTTTCTTACTGCGGTATAGTATTCTAAAGAGTACATATCCCATAATTTCTTTATCCAGTTTATCGTTGATGGGCATTTAGGTTGGTTCCAGGTCTTAGCTATTGTGAATTGAGCTGCAATAAACATTAGGGTGCAGACCGCTTTTTTGTTTGCCAATTTAAATTCCTTTGGGTAAATTCCAAGGAGTGGGATGGCTGGGTCGAACGGTAGGGTTATCTTCAGGTTTCTGAGGAATCTCCAGACTGACTTCCATAGTGGCTTCACCAGTTTGCTTTCCCACCAACAGTGGGTTAGTGTCCCTTTATCCCCACATCCTCGCCAGCATCTGTTGTTGGTAGATTTCTGCATGTGAGCCATTCTAACCGGGGTGAGGTGAAACCTCATTGTGCTTTTGATTTGCATTTCCCTGATTGCTAATGACCTTGAACATTTTTTCATGTGCCTGTTGGCCATTTGGATTTCCTCTTTTGAAAAATGTCTATTGAGGTCCTTGGCCCATCTCTTAAGTGGGTTGTTGGTTTTGTTTTTGTGGAGTTTCTTGATCTCTTTGTAGATTCTGGTTATTAACCCTTTATCTGTTGCATAGTTTGCAAATATTTTTTCCCATTCTGTCAGTTGTCTCTTCACTCTCCTGACTGTTTCTTTTGCAGTACAGAAACTTCTCAATTTGATGCAATCCCAATAGTTGATTTTGGCTTTGACTGCCTGTGCCTCCCGGGTCTTTTCCAGAAATTCTTTGCCTGTGCCAATATCTTGAAGGGTTTCTCCAATGTTCTCTAGTAACTTGATGGTGTCAGGTCGTAGATTTAGGTATTTCAGGAATGGAAAGCCAAGACACTCTGGCAAAAGATCTCTGTGAGTGAGATCCCAGTGGAAAGAACAGGTCATCAAAGAAGGAGGTACCTTTCTCTGAAGGGAGGAGAGAACCTCCACTTTGACTATGACCTTGTCTAAACAAGATAAGAGTCGGAGAACTCAGAGGGCTTCCATAGCCTTGGAAACTCATGACTGGAGCATAGGGAGATTACTGATGCCATAGACAGGAGTGTCAATTGGTAAAGTCAACAACAGGAGTCACTGTGCACTTACTCCTCATGTAGGATCTCTATCCTTAATGTGCTGTACATTGAGATTTAATGCTATAACGAGTACTCAAACAATATATTTCACTTTGTGTTTCTATGGGGGTGCAAACTGTTGAAATCCTTACTTAATGCATACTAAACTGATCCTCTGTAAAAAAAAAAAAAAAAAAAGAAAAAGAAATTATCAATTCCGAACTTGACTCTCACTGGGATTAAACATGACAATAGGTCTGATCTGATTTCATCATCATTTAAAAAAAATCATCTATTATTTTTCACTTTATGTTTCTGTGTGGGAGCAAACTGTTAAAATCCATACTTGATGTATACTAAGCTGATCTGTATATTAAGATAATCGAAAATGAATCTTGATGTGAATGGAAGGGGAGAGGGAGTGGGAAAGGGGAGGGTTGTGGGTGGGAGGGACGGTATGGGGGGGAAGCCATTGTAATCCATAAGTCGTACTTTGGAAATTTATATGCATTAAATAAAAGTTTAAAAAAAAAGAAATTAAAAAAAAATTAAAAAAATTAAAAAAAAATAATTAAAGTAATACATATACCCCCATAATGTCCAAAGAATGACTCGGCCCATAATAAGAGATTATTTTTAATGTCAGATTGACTCTAAACATATTAATATGTACAAATTATTCAGGAAGCAGACATTCCTTGGGGTGGGGTTCTTGTTTTGCTCATGAATTCAATGCATTATATTATAATAAAACTTTGATTAACATACAGAGAGTGATAGCATACTTGCCATATCTATGTATATTGTCTATAGATAATCTATCTTCTAATTTTTCACATACATATATGTTTAGATCAGGTTGATATAATCACCAACCAACCCTGGGAATGCTTTTTGTCCTTAAACATCACCTCTCGATGTGGCTGCTAGATGATCAGGCTTGTTGAAAAGGGTGTAAGCAGAAATACTCATATTCTCATTTTATTATAAACAGTGCATACCCACTAGCTTCCCTTCCTTCTCAGGGAAGCATGCACTGAGGAGAGAGAATTGAAAATATCATCTAGTGAGAACAGAGGGGATGTATGCACTTTCTCACAGTCATTCTTATGACTGATCTTCACATGCCATATGCCTCTCACCTAGAAAGATCAGTAACCTGAGTGTTTTTAGGGAGTCGGTGGGGCTCTCACCTGTTCCAAATAAATCAAGACATTGTTGTTGCTCACTTCTGTCCTGCTCACATGGTTAGATCTTTTAAGCTGAGGAAAAGTAGAGAAATCACCAATGTTACTGATAAATGAAGCCTCTGAGGTTTAAAGAGACGAATGTCCTATCAGACTGAATTCAATAGAAAAATGAATCCAAGATTAAACTTCCCTAAAAGAGTTTGTCTGGTAAAATGAAAATATAGTAAAGAAAATTGTTAGTAACACTACATTAGATACAAAAGTGTGACTAAGTCATAGATATTTTTGACTTTTGCTTGAAGATAAAAGAGAAGAATCCTCAAGTTGGATAGTTACTCCTCTGAGATTAGATATGAAGATATATTTCTTTACTCTAACTGACATTGATTTCAGTTTTCTCTAAATTTTCACAGAATAAAGACTATAACAGCAATTTTGATATTTGATGCTATCTAACCTTGAGATGTTATTTAACAGTTTCAAATTTCCATTTGCTCTATCCTTAAGTAGAATACAGGATTAATTGATTTACACACAATTGTTATATTTCTTTTATTGACACCTAGCACAATGTTAAATGTATACTTGGTATCGTGTAAGTTCAATGTTCTTAGATTAGGACCAGTGTTCCTTTGATACAGGTTGACATCAATAAAATTGATGGAACAAAGACAGTAAGCCTCAGCTGGTTTGCTCACTGCCCAAAAGATCCACAAACATTGGAATTAATTCCTTCCCCTTGAGTTTCAATTGGGTCTCATACCCTATTGCCTTCATACCCTGCCCAGCATTCTTTTCCAGGTTCCCAAGGCCCTACTCCATTCCAGGAATCTACCTTTGCCTGCTACCTCCTACTCCCACCCCCATCCTTAGCCCTTCTAAAATATAAAAAGGCCCAGCCAGCCCCTGGGGGTCAGGGCCTTCTGCCACATGTTCCAACCTGTGCACACTGGCAGTTGGTCACCCACCTCTGCAAATTTATTTTCTCTGAGTAAATTTGGCCTGGCTGTAAATTTGTACACTGCCTCCTCTCTATTCTGTGCCTCTTTTCCTAACAAGAATGCTATGGCTATGGTCTTAAACTAAGGACATGGGAAGCCCAGTATGTGTGTAGTGTCTACTTACCATTTTCACTGTTGGTGGTTTCAATGGGATGAAACCAGATATCATTTTTATATCAACAATCACCATGTTGGAGACTTGACGGCTTCCTATGTAACTATAGATACAAAAAGGAAAGAGATACACTTCACTCTATTTTGAATCCTGTCTTCTTTTAAGTTCCAGAATTAGTTCTAAAATTTTATCATAAGTTTTCTAATAATCTTTAGGACCTTCCATCCCTGGAAATAGGTAGCCTTTACTGCCAATATGAGTGATTCTCAAAGCATTCCTAACAGACACCTACAGGATTTCATTAAAACGTAAAAAGCAAAACAAAAGAGCCAAAAACAAAAATAGATGCCCAAGCACAGATCTCGAAATAATTAATTGAACCTCCGAGAGAGTCTGCATTTTTAAACAAACTGTACAGAGTATGCTAACCAGAGTTTGGAATCTCTAGTATATGCCTTTTCTTTGGAACTTATGTTATTAATATTTTTTTTATTTTATGATACATTTTATTAAGTTACATATTTTAGTCATGATTTCAGAGCTTTTGGAAACAACAAAAATATTTTAAAGTTATAGATAATAAAGTAAATCTTATTTTTAATTTTACTTAGTAGTGATAAGGACACCAAATTTGATTGGTTGTTATGATACTATGGCATAGGAGATGAAATAGTGCATTGAAGTAATTATAATGATAGAATATTTGGTAATTACTTCAGGGGGCATTTTAATGCCATATGAATGAATATGTGGTGTTACAAATAATGCATATCTGTTATTAAAATAACAACTAGGAAATAAATGTTTGAGTCTTGACTCTGCCATTTACTAGTTCTGTGACCCTGAACAAGTTAATTTAACCTCTCAGTGCTTACATTAATACAGGTAAAATGCTTAGACTTTTGCCTGGCATATGATGGTCACTCAATACATATAAAACTCGAGATGAGAATGAAAACCTGTTGTATTTACCCACATTTTTGCTTTCATTTGTTGTTTCTTCTTTCCTGAAGTTCCAAGATTTCTTCTTTAATCATTTCCTTTTTGTTTGAAGAACTTCCTTTAGCCATGCTTTTGGAATATTCTACCAGTAACAAATTCTCTGAGTTTTCCTTCATTTTTCCATGTCTTCATTTCTTCCTTATTCCTGGAGGATATTTTCATTAGTTCTAGTTTGACAGTTTTTCTTTCAGCACTTAAAAAATATAGGCCTACTTCTTGCCTCTATAGTTTCTGATGAGACTCCTCTGCCATTCAAAGAGTTTTGCCTCTATTGCTTGGATGTCAGGTTTTTTTTTTGTTTGTTTGTTTGTTTGTTTTATTTATTTATTTATTTAATGAATATAAGTTTCCAAAGTACGAATAATGGATTACAATGGCTTCCCCCCCATACCGTCCCTCCCACCCACAACCCTCCCCTTTCCCACTCCCTCTCCCCTTCCATTCACATCAAGATTCATTTTCGATTATCTTAATATACAGAAGATCAGCTTAGTATACATTAAGTAAGGATTTCAACAGTTTGCTCCCACACAGAAACATAAAGTGAAAAATAATAGATGATTTTTTTTTAATGATGATGAAATCAGATCAGACCTATTGTCATGTTTAATCCCAGTGAGAGTCAAGTTGGGAGTTGATAGTTTCTTTTCTTTTCTTTTTTTTTTTTTTTTTTACAGAGGATCAGTTTAGTATGCATTAAGTAAAGATTTCAACAGTTTGCACCCCCATAGAAACACAAAGTGAAATATACTGTTTGAGTACTCGTTATAGCATTAAATCTCAATGCACAGCACATTAAGGACAGAGATCCTACATGAGGAGTAAGTGCACAGTGACTCCTGTTGTTGACTTTACCAATTGACACTCCTGTCTATGGCATCAGTAATCTCCCTATGCTCCAGTCATGAGTTTCCAAGGCTATGGAAGCCCTCTGAGTTCTCCGATTCTTATCTTGTTTAGACAAGGTCATAGTCAAAGTGGAGGTTCTCTCCTCCCTTCAGAGAAAGGTACCTCCTTCTTTGAAGACCTGTTCTTTCCACTGAGATCTCACTCACAGAGATCTTTTGCCAGAGTGTCTTGGCTTTCCATGCCTGAAATACTCTCATGGGCTTTTCAGCCAGATCCGAATGCCTTTAGGCCTGATTCTGAGGCCAGAGTGCTATTTAGGACATCTGCCATTCTATGAGTCTGCTGAGTATCTCACTTCCCATGTTGGATCACTCTCCCCTTTATTTATTCTATCGGTTAGTGTTAGCAGGTACTAGACTTGCTTATGTGCTCCCTTTGACTCTTAGTCCTTTCATTATGATCAATTGTGAACTGAAATTGATCACTTGGACTAGTGAGATGGCATTGGTACATGCCACCTTGATGGGATTAAATTGGAGTACCCTGGTATGTTTCTAACTCTACCATTTGGGGCAAGTCAGCTTGAGCATGTCCCAAATTATACATCTCTTCCCTCTCTTATTCCTACTCTTGTGTTTAACAGGGATCACATTTCAGTTAAATTTCAACACGGAACTTATGTTATTAATATTAATCATGATCTTTTTCTTCATGTGAAAATTATCTTCATAACTAACCTATCATATTCCTTTAGGTAAGAGACCATATCTCTGTTCATATTCTAGGTAGCTTCTTGAATATAATTTATCTTAATAGGATTTGCTTTTATGAAATACATTATACTTATTTGTCTGTTTTGGTGGATCAAATTGTGAACATTATTTTCTCTTTTCATTCTAAGTTGCATCAGATGTTGTAGAGCTATGAAGAATGTTATTAAATCTTAGAGAATTTTTTTTGACAGACAAAGTGGACAGTGAGAGAGAGAGAGAGGGAGAGAAAGGTCTTCCTTTGACATTGGTTCACCCTCCAATGGCTGCCCTGGCCGGCGCCCTGTGGCCAGCAAACCACGCTGATCTGAAGGCAGGAGCCAGGTGCTTCTCCTGGTCTCCCATGGGGTGCAGGGCCCAAGCACTTGAGCTATGCTCCACTGCACTACCAGGCCATAGCAGAGAGCTGGCCTGGAAGAGGGGCAACCGGGACAGAATCCGGCGCCCCGACCGGGACTAGAACCCGGTGTGCTGGCACTGCTACGTGGAGGATTAGCCTGTTGAGCCGTGGCGCCGGCCAAATCTTATAGAATTTTAATAGAACAGGAAGACTTTGCACTAGAGATAAAGAAGGATGAGCCATGTTTTAGAGTTATTGAAAAGAACCATTTGTTTTTCAACAATGAAAGTGGGTACTATGAACCTTGGAGGCAGATTAATTAGGGTTTATAAACCTACTAATTCTTCACTGTGCACAGTGGGGAAGCAATTTTAATGAATAAGGCAAAAACTTTATGACAGTTAATCTAAGTATACTTGAGTAGTTCTTGGTAGCTGATAGTCTCACAGCTACATAATAGAGACAGATATTCTTACCTGACATTTATTGATATCTGGAAGCTTGTCTGGGCTTTGGGTCCATCACAGGTGGGGGGTGTTGTCTGTACTTGGAGATCGAATGCAGATTCTTTCTTCTCCAAGAAAACATTGTATTTCAGAGCTGTCTGTTGGATTGATAAAAGCAAAGTAATTATCTCCAGTCCACAGCATCCCTTAAACTGACACCATTTCATTTCTCTTGACTTGCCCTTTATTTATGAGGGTCATAATAAATTGAGATTCCATTTCCAGGAGAGGGTTACAGTTGAATCTTTTCAATTTCTCCCGAGTCTTACCTGAATATACACACATCCTTCTCCTGACACTGTTATGTCATACTCTCCAGGAAGGTCTGGCAATGAGACCTGCTGTAATAACAGGCGATTACTGTTTTCTACTTGGAAGTTTGTCAAAAATGTCCCCAAAGACTGGATGGCCACTTTCACTGTCTCGGTTCTGGCAAAAGTAGCTGCTCCATATCTGGACAAAGCATGGAGAGCCACCACCGTGTCCTGAAAGAAATTAGTGTAAAAATCCAAGATAATGTCAACTTTTAGGGGCATGAACCTTCCATAGTCCATTTTTACAATTATAAATGTGTCATGCATGAGTTTTCTCCCCAATTATTGGAGTCCCAGAATTAAATCTCAAGACTTATTTGAAGTTTTGATATATCTCAGAGTCAAAATGTTCATATAACTTCCCTATGTAGCTTGCCCTAGAGCAAGAACGTTCATGTTATATGTGTCAGGTTCACCTTGTGGTATTTGCTATTCTTCTTCCTCTTTCTCTGTTACCTACAATGACACCCACCATCTTCCCACAGAACCATGATCTTGCCATTGCCTACAGCGAGTTTCTTAACCCCTGGATGTGCCTTCAAAAGACACCAAAGCAATCACCAGGTGCTACATATTTCAATCTGACAAGTAGGAGGAAAAACGTTGGGGTCAGGGTTGTGGCACAGTGGGTTAAACCACAGTTTATGATGCTGGCATTTAATATTGGAATGCAGGTTCAAGTCCTAGCTTCTACACTTCCAACCAGCTTCCTGCTAATGCCCCTGGGAAGGCAGCAAGTCATGGGCCCAAATACTTGGGCCCCTATCATCCAATGGGAGACCCAGATAGAGTTCCTGGCTCCTGGCTTTTTCCCAGCCCAGTCCAGCCCTGGTTGTTCTAACCATTTTGGGGAATGAATGAACAGTTGAAAGATCCCTCCCCACCCCATACCCTTGATCGCTCTCTGCTTCTCCCCCACCATCCTGCCACTCTGTCTTTCAAATAAATGATTAAATGAATGAATCAATCAATCCCGGGACCTGTGTTGTAGCACAGTGTGTTAAGCCACCATCTGTGATGTTGGCATCTCATATGAATACCAATTTGAGTATTGGATGCTCTAGTTCTGATCCAGCTTCCTGCTAAAGCACATGGGAAAGCAGCAGATGAAGGAGCAATTGTTTGAGCCCTTATCTCCTGCTCAGGAGACCTGGATGGAGATTCAGGCCCCTGGCTTTTGCCTGGCCCAATCCCAGCCATTGTGACAATTTGGGGGAGTGAACCAGCAGATAGAAGACCTCTTTCTCTCTCTCTTCTGTCTCTATCACACTGTGTATGTGTGTGTATGTGTGTGTGCGTGAGTGTGTGCAACACTCTGTAATTCTGCCTTTCAAATAATTAAATATTTTTTAAAATAAGTAATTCTTAAATAATAACATGAAGAAAAGCTTTATAATTCTAGTATTCTCAATGGTTTCTCACTCTCTTCATTAGTACCATTCTGTGAGCATGCACTTTACACCCCAGAGCACCTTTCTTAGATACCTTCTTGTTTCTCATTAAAAAGGCACAGTGCTGTCCTTCAGATAGTAGGATTGGCAAAAGGAAAAACAAGCACATGGAGTGGGCTCCATTTCACCAAGCATCTCTGAAGGTAAGTTCTGCCATGGATGCTCAGAATACTTGCAGTAGAAATTATAGGTATTCCGTTAGAGTTTTAGAAGTAATATTTTCTAAGGTTACATACATGTGGCTGGATGATACAGTCAATGGTTAATAATCCTGATTGACCCCTGATGGTGGGAGATGAAGAGTGGAAGCATGAGTTTCTATTATTTGGAGAAAACTTAAAAGGGGACCTGTGAATAAATAAGGAGAGACTTTTAGCAGAGAGGGAAAGAAGGTGTAGACTGGAGCACCGGGAACATAAAGCAATAAATGTTCATACATCATTTCTTAGACAACTCATCCCTCTGGTTCAGTTTAAGGGATCCCTTTAGTATTATAGACATTCCAGACTTTTTTGATTTTTTGTCATTGGTCACAATCCAAGGTTTGGTTACCACATAAAAAGGTCTGAGGGGACAACCCTGCTCCAATAAGTAAGGTGTGAGAGTACTCCAGTGGGCTAGAATAGGGATTGGGGTGAGTTACTGAAGTGTTTTAGGTTCTTTTCCTTGTTTCTGACAGACTCAAAATACTCAATAGCCTTTCATGTCCTTTTCTTTCTTACCCCTTCTCTTATTTTTTCTTTTTTTCCTTTTTTTTTTTTTTTGACAGGCAGAATGGACAGTGAGAGAGAGACACAGAGAGAAAGGTCTTCCATTTGCCATTGGTTCACCCTTCAATGGCCGTCATGGCTGGCACGCTGTGGCCGGCACACCGCGCTGATCCGAAGGCAGGAGCCAGGTGCTTCTCCTGGTCTCCCATGGGTTGTAGGGCCCAAGCCCTTGGGCCATCCTCCACTGCCTTCCCGGGCCACAGCAGAGAGCTGGCCTGGAAGAGGGGCAACCGGGACAGAATCCAGCTCCCCGACCAGGACTAGAACCTGGTGTGCCGGCGCCGCAAGGCTGAGGATTAGCCTATTGAGCCATGGCACCGGACTCTTACCCCTTCTCTTATTATTACTCATTTATTTTGTTCATTCCTCCCAACTGCACCCTGACTCTACAGAATTAGAATGTTGTGGAACCACAGACCTGGGTGGAGGAGAAGCCGCCGTGGGCGTTCTGCTGCTTTGTGATCCACTTCACAATGAGCTTTGCAGTAGTCAGGTCCTCTGAGGCTGGGGCAGGCCAGGCAGTGAGGTGAGCAAGGAGCACATAGGACATCATCTCCACCTCAGCAGAGGGAGCCTGGGGGTGGAAGAAATGGCCCTCTGGTGACTTGGGTTTCTGAGGTCGCTCCCAGTGAATTGAATCATCTTAATGATAAGAATAAAGCAAGAATGAAAATCATTAATATTTCATGTATGACTCTAAAAGCCTATGCTTTTATTTAGAAAGAAATAACAAAAGCTGAAGTAAGGGTTTTTTTTTTTTTTACATCAATCAAAATATCTCTAAATTTTTTAATCCAGAATAAATTGTAAACTTGATAAGATCAAGTGTGGTTGATCAAACCTTTGAGGACAGAAATTTATAAGACATGAAGTAAACTATTTTCAAATATTGTTTTTGTAGGATTAGTAAGGAAAAAACCAGCTAATATGATTCCCTCTTTGACTCCCTCACCTCCACCCTAAATTTATTAGGTCAATATTTCTATTTGAAATGAAATATAAAACCTACCAATTTATTTTAGGGAGTCATAATAGAACTTGTAAAACATGAAAACTACTATTATAGGTGACCACTTATTGTCTACAGCCTTAGTAGCTCAAGCAATCCAGACATGTATTCATATATCATAAAGAACAGCATACATATGAACTACACTTGTCTTTGTAAGGGGAGATTGACAGCCCTGAAGTCTCCTGTATTATTACTTTTATTGATATTGTCCTCTGTATAACAAAATATTCCAGAGAAGGCATGGGGATTTAGGGAGTGTTAATCTCCTAATGGGTGATTCTGCATGTGAATCTCAGCATTTCAAAGGGGTATAGGACAAAAGAAGATTCTTTTCAGAATTCAAAAATCTTCCCCTTTTCCCTTGAGTGGAAGTAGGTGGGGCAAAAATGATTTAAAATATGCTCTCACCTTCTTTTATAGCTTCCTCATCAAGTGACTTGAGTACTTCATTCCTTCGGCCCTGGTTACCTGCCAGGGCAAAAGCATAGGCCAACAGTGCCTTGGTGTAGACGTGGCTGCCATTGGTCTTTTCCTGTGCTGTGTTCCAGGCTGACTCTAGGCAAAACAGGGCATTGCGAACCACAGGGTCCTGTGAAGGGAGAACAGGGGTACCTTCAGCTATGTTAAAGACTCTAGGGTAGGAGGTAACAGCGCTTTTGAAAACTACTTTCTTTCTCTTCCTCCATCCATTCACCAGCAATCTTTTTAGAAATCACCCCCCCCCATTAGGATCCCATTAAATGTAACTGATAATTGTGCGACCAGGGGCCATATGTTTCTGATTAGTTTTGGCACTTAATCCTGGATTTTATTGAACAAGTAGTTTCTTCTTGGTGGAATTAGGCAGATGCATAATGACATGCAAAAGGAAAAGTTGTCACTTGGCTTGGAGAGGAGTGGTATTATAACCCTAATTCAGTAGATTCCATAGCAGTTAGAAAACTGGAGAAATATGTGATACCCACAGTGACTGGGAGAGGAATTTCCAGAAGGGCAGTGGTGATATAGGCAGAGAGGGTCACTTCATCATCTACTCCACCCTGTAAATGTAAGAGAGGGAAAGGGAGATAAATTCCACTTTCAGAAACCCTTCAAAGGTTTCTTCTCTTCTGATGGCCAATCTTCTATGAGTCTTTGGAATTTATTCTCATCCATATATTCACTGTACAAAGTACACTTCCCACCTAGGTCCCATTTCTTTCTCCTCAGTGGTATGCAGGTTTATCTCTCTACCCTATTGATCTCCTATAGTTTCCAGTCCTTTCCTTTAAGAATTCCCTTGCCACTTCTCCTTAGATGCTTTCATCCTTCAAGAAATTGCCATGGATTAGGGATTCAGCAGGTTTATGACTAGTTTAGAAAATAAATCACCTGCTTGGGGGCTGGTTTTGTGGTGCAGCAGGTTAAGCTGCCACCTGTGATGTTGGCATTCTATATGAGCAGCGTTTCTACTGTAGCTGCTCTACTTCTGATCCACCTCCCTGCTAGTGTGTCTGGGGAAGCAGCAGTAAATGGTCCACGTGCTTGGGCCCCTGCCATCCATGTGGGAGACTCAAATGGAGTTCCAGGCTGCTAGCTTTGGCCTGGTTCAGCCTTGGACATTGTAGCCATTTGGGGAGTAAACCAGAGAATGGAAGATCTCTCTTTCTCCCTCTGTCTTTCCCCACCACCACACTCTCTGCAACTCTGCCTTTTCAGTAAATAAATAAATCTTTTAGAAAACAGAAATCACCTTCATGGCATTGTTGAAGAGATTCCCAGAACTCCTGAAACAGCCATTGTCCTTTTGCTTCTGAGAAAGCCAAGTGAGGGCTTGGGTAATGTGTGCTTTGTCAATGAAGGCAAAGGGTTGTGCTTGGGCAAAACTCTTGAGCACAAAGGCTGTGAGCCTGGTGGAGAGAGAAAAGTGATTGTTGGAGTTATTTGTTGTCATGCAGCACCTTCACATGCCCAAGCTTCATTGCAAGGCACCCCACAACACTAGTGAGTCAGTATGAGATGATCTGAATGTGTGGAGCTGGGCAGTATCTGTTTGCTACCCCAAGACACTATTCTCTTTCTCTGGGCTCTGCCTGCCAATAATCCATTGCCAACTTGTTTCAAGCGCTTCCTGATTTACTTCCAGTTTGTTTTAGGTGCTTAGACTTGGCCTTACTTGTTCATTTGGTTGACTTACACTCTCATGCTAGGTTTTATCCCTTCTATTGATTTTCTACTGTAGATGAGAAAACCCTTCTATTCTAAAGTTCCTGCTATATAGGCTAACCTTGTGGAAATTTTTATTTGGCCAGGAAACACTAACTAAAAACAGAATATAAGCCCTTTCCCCTGCCTTCCTTCCTGTCCCTTCTACCAGCCTCCTTTACATGTATTGTCTCTTACTTGCCTATGTATTTTACCTCAGAAGAATAGTATTATTTAATGCGAGGAGGTACTAGGAAGAAAGGCTTTTCCAGTCTCAGTTTCTAGCATTTCTGGATGTGTAAAAATACCTTATGTGTGGCCATTTAAAAAAAAACTTGTAATGAGTATTAGAGATACATAACAATGAATAGCTTATGTATTCAGTGAAAAATATATTTTGAAATTAAAGCAGATAAACCCTGAGATAAGTCTCAGCTCTGCCACTTATTCATGCAACCTCGAGATGGCACTAGGCACAATTTTCTACCTCTGTAAAAAGAGGCCCATACTGTCTAATTCATAGAGTTGCCATGAGGAGCAAGAGTTGTACAGGTCTGGCCGATAGTACCCTTTCATTACCAAGTGTTGCCTTGATCTCTGCCATTTTTGTCTCCAAAGGTGCTGTAGGAGCCATCTTTGTGTTTGTAGTTCAGCTGTTTCTGATAACCTGAGATGGAAAGTTTCAGATGGTTCATGAAATATCAGTGATATATCAGAGAAAGATGGGATCCTCCTATGTTTGGACTAATGCCAGAAAAGCCACCCATGTGCCCTGGCCTCTCTTCAATGCAGGGCCCTCCAAGAGCCCATTGAATGTGAAGCCTACTTGTGGAAGGAATATTTACAATCAGAAAGTGAAGTGTCTGCTCCTTACTCACCAGCATTGAGAAAGTTTATGGCCTTGGACTTGAGCTCTGGAGTCAGTTGCTGGGTTTCATTCAGATATTTCAGTACATAGATATTAGGAGCAAAAAGGGCAATGTTCTGTTCACCACAGCCATAGGGCATCTGGAGGAGATTGTGTGTGTTTTTTATAGGAGAGCCTAATATGTCACCTGAGAGCGAAAGAGGAGAAGTCAAAACAATCATAAATGAACAGAATCATGAATCAATATTTAGAGTCATTTCTAAAAGACAGCAGATTTGAAGGAACTAGAATTTGAGAGGAAGATCAGGTGTACTGGAAACCAAGTAGAGTGAGGAAAAGTTAGAGATATGAGCAAGAAGTCGAAAAATTGAAGTACTGTGAAAAATTATATTTGGAAAAATACAATAGGAGTGGTGGTGGCAGTGGCTGTCTCAAATCCTCTGGGGACTGAATGACTCACCCAAAACAGAGACAGAGGCTCTGGCTGATTCTTTCACTACTCCTGGTGGAAGCTTCAGGGCCAATTTTTCTGATACCCCAGCATCTTGGTAAACAAACAAATCAGATTTATAAAAGATTATCTTTGATGTTGGTATTTCTGAAAAGTCCTAAGGAGAGTGGTTTTAGCAGTGAATATTAAACTTGGAATTCATGCCTCCTTAATACTCCAAATTTAGATCTCTTGGTACTGAGGGGTTTGCTAACCTATGCCTCTTTTTTTATTAACTGATTACATTGAATAGTACAGCAACTGCACCAAAGAAGACTCTAAGTTTTCTGAGGGTTTTTGAAGTCTCCTTAAATGTAATGTGGACTGATACAGAGATTGTATTTCTTTGCCTCAAATTTTAGCTATGTACAAATGTATACTTAACACATCAGAGGAAGTAAGCAAGTAAATCAATGGTGGGTACTTAGCATTTTTCAGGGGTTTTCTCTGTGTGGCTGTGATATCAGTAGATTTTAGTAACTACTCAGGAATCATTTTCTTGGACGTTCTTGACATGGGTGTGTATGTGTTAGGAGTGGAGGAGGTTGATAGGTACATGAGTTTGTATTCATGATTATCAGGAAAATCAGAATTGAGGAATGGTAAGGGTATGCCTTGTTATTCTTCTCTTGTGTATTCAGAGACAAACATTATTCTCCAGCAGTTCCTTCATACTTTCTACCTATCACACAAAAGCCTTTTATGATTTTCAGTAATTGTAAAATAACTTTCTCAAATGTATGACGTGTAAATGTGACGCAGGTTCACCAGCTTTGTTGAAATCATTACTTCATCTTATCTCTGCTTTGTTAACTTTCTTATTATAATAGATTTAGTCCATGCATAAAACACTTTTATTCAAATGATCCATTCTTTCAACAAATATGTATTGAGCAACTGCTTTGTGCCAGTTGCTGTTCTTGGTACTGGGAACACAGTCATGAACAAGAGTAGATAGAAATCTCAGCCTTTGTTAAATTTATATTCATCTTTTATGATAAACTCCTAAAGCTTCTTTTGAAATGGTTAGTTTGGGATTATGCATACAGTAGTGAAAGAGCAAGTAATACCACAAAAATGAGAGAAAATATTATGCTAACTGTATTTTCATGATTTAGTGGGTTTAATGCGTGAAATATCTTTGATTATAAGGACATAATTGTTATAAAATTAGAAATATATGTCCCTTCACCAAACATTCTGTATACTTTTCTCATTAGTTTAGGTATATTTTCATTCTGACCACTTCTTAGCATTTCCTGAAGCCATTTCTTAGGCCCTTATTTGTGCTGGGTGAAGGGATTTTTATACACTTGAGAAAAGAGCTAGAAACAAGGAACTGAGATGTTCCAGGTTGAATCCTGGTTGTACTATTGATTGTGATATAAATATAGTTAAGGACCTTGATGTCCTATAAGACTCAGTGACTTTATTTATTTTACAAGAGAAAGAGATACAGTGTCCTGGTTTCATCATAAGAATATTGCAAAAAAAAAATCCAATTAGTGTAATTAATGTGAAAACAAATACGTTTGTAACTTGAAATGTTCTGGTCTTCATATTGCTGTCATGAATCACTCTTACCTGATACCCAGAGTAAGGAGTTGAAAGTATGTTCCATCTTGATTCCTTCAGGCTTGGGTGGAAAGAAGAAAAAGAGATCAGAAGGGACTGAGCATCTCAGTAAATAAACATAATGGGAATTTTGAGAGCAAATCCATAGCTTTCTTAATTTGTAAAGTGAATGGCTTGAGTTAGACAATTTCTAATTTCCATTACATCAGTGAATGCCTAAAAGTTTGAGAAATGTAGATGAGCCTAGTTAATAGGGAAGGGAATGAGGAAGGATAATTAGAGAAAAAGTGATAGAAATAAGGAAAAGCAACTGATACAGAATATATCTAATGTAACTTTTAGTTAATGGAAAATAGCTAAAAGGCAAATGGAAAAACAAAACAAAATTAGTAATTTAAGACATGAACTTGTCACATGTGAAATACACAAAGTTAAAGTATTATTCCTACAATTCTATTTTACTTGAAATTATAGACAGTCAACATTGCTCCATTTTCTGGTCTCAGTAGGACAAGTCGGGCTTACTCACCTCAACTAACAGGAGTTTGACAACTGTGTCTGACTTCCCAGTTTCAGGAACTGTAGCCATCTCATTACCACAGAGGTCTGGGGACTGTATTGCTTCTGCACTCACGGAGAAATTCACATTCCCTGAAACAAATGGCCTGCAGACATGAGCTTGGATGTGCCACGGACTTGGCATTCTTTCAGTCTCCAAGATCTACAGGGGGTGCCAAGTTCTGTGAGAAATTCATGAGCTTGTTCCTTATTTAATCTGACATATACATGGACAAAGCAGCATTGATCAGTCTTCTGCTTTTGTGGCCCAAACAGGAGAACCTCATTGAAGGAGCCTTCATGTTTTCATCATCTTTGAGTACAGAGAGTCTCAGAGCACCTTCACTCACCTAGAGATGTAGGAGTTACCAACCAGGACAGGGTTTCCCTCTCATTTGCACAGAGGCAGTAAGAATCTTGTTCTTTCTGCACTGGGATAGCCGCGAAGTCAGGAGAAGCTTTCAGTTGCACACTCACCTGTAGTCCCACATGGGGAAGAGAGATAAAAGAGATGTAACTTCCAAAGGGCAACACATTTATGTACAGGATGGGGCAAGTGAGGAAGCCTGAAGTGAACCTGGGTGTTCAAAAGAGATGAGCAGTTTTTTTTTTTTTTTACAAAACATTTTGTTGAAAATGACACATAAGCTAAAAGTATTCACATGAAAATGTTGTATGGATATTATATAATATACAAACATTTCTATTTACATATATAGGTAAATATATTTATTTACATGTTGATTTTGGCACAAGAAAGGAAGGGGAGAGAAAGCAACAATGGTATGCTATCCTGAGGAAATTTCCCCACTGGCTTAGACTCATGAGAAATCTCCTTGTTTACTCTGTGGCTACAGTCTAATTGGAGTTCTTTCTCTCATTTTGTTAAAAAGATTTATTTTATTTATTTGAAGGACAGAGTTACAGAGAGAGGTAGAGACAGAGAGAGGGGTCTTCCATCCACTGGTTCATTCCCCAGATGGCCGCAACAGCCGGAGCTGTGCCCATCCGAACCCAGGAGCCAGGAACTTTTTCTGGGTCTCCCATGCAGGTGCAGGGGCCCAAGGACTTGAGCCATCCTCCACTGCTTTCCCAGGCCATAGCAGAGAGCTGGATCAGAAGAGGAGGAACTGGGAGTAGAACTGGTGCCCATATGGGATGCTGGTGCTTCAGACCAGGGCATTAACCCACTGTGCCACAGTGCCAGCCCCTCCCTCATTTTTTTTTAACCTGTACTCACTCATTTGGTTGGAGACATACATTACAGTTTTTATGGTCACAGATACTTTGGGGCTATTACTGGCTCCTGACAAGGTGTTTTGTTCACCAGACACATAAGATGCCGAGAAGTTGTGTAAAATATGGCTAAATGTGGGGCCAGCCCTCTGGCATGGAGTGTAAAGCTGCCGCCGCACTGCTGGAAACCCATATGAGAGCCAGTTCAAGTCCTGGTTGCTCCACTTCTGATTTAGGTCTCTGATATGGCTTGGGAAAGCAGTGGAAGGTGGTCCAAGTGCTTGGGCCACTACACCTATGTCAGAGACCTGGAAGAAGTTCCTGGCTCCTGGCTTCGGAGCAGCTCAGCTCATGCCATGTGGCCATTTGGGGAGAGAACTGGAAGATGGAAGACCTCTCTCTCTCTCTCTTTCTCTCTCTTTGTAACTCTGCTTTTCAAATAAATAAATAAATCTTTAAAACTAATGAATAAATATGGCTAAATGTGATGGACATTAGAAAAAAGATACAATGGAAATATCATGGAAATTTAGAGCAAGACAGGATATCCCAGTAATGGGATCGAACCTTACACAAAAATCCACTCAAAATGGATCAAGGACCTAAATCTATGACCAAATAAAACAAATTACTAGAAAACATTCGGGAAACTCTGCAAGAGATTGGTATAGACAAAGACATCTTGGGAAAGACCCCAGTAGCACAGATAATCAAAGCCAAAGTTGACAAATGGGATGCTATTAAGAGTGTAAACTGGTGCAGCCATTGTGGAAGATAGTAACAAGATTTCTCAGGAAGCTGAAAATAGCAATCCCACTCCTGGAAATTTACCCAAGGGAAATGAAATCAGCTTATGAAAGAGTTATCTGTACACCCATATTCATTGCAGTTCAATTCACAATAACTAAGATATGGAATCAACCCATATTTCCAACAACTGATGACTGGATAAAGAAATCATGTCATATATACATTATAGAACACTACCAATGTTAAAAAAAAAGAAATCCTGTTTTTTGCAACAAAATGTATGCAACTGGAAGTCATTATATTTAGTTTATTGGTAGTCCCAAAAAGACAAATATCATGTTTTCCCTGATTTGTGTTAACTAATAGAGTACCTAAAATATAATGTATTGGAGTGAAATTCACATTTTGAGATTCCATAATTGTTTACAGTCCTTGTCTCTATTGTTAAAGAACAATATTTTTTTCCTTCATAGTAGTTGTTGAACTCTTAGTGTAGGGTTAATCTTATGAGTTGTAAAGATACATTTTTAGGATAAAGAGGCTTGTATCTAGGTTTGGCTCTGGTAAACAAGTAACTTGTCTGCTGGATGACCTTCTCCTGCTCCTTGGGAGTCTGGCCAGTTCCCAGGAAGGAGGATAAAGGAATGTTTCTGATAAACAGATGGGCATGCTTCATGTCTCAATTCTCTGGCCAAGATCCCAGATGGGACGTACTGCTTGCTTAAAATTTTGGCAATGAGCCACCTTTGTCCTTGGGGGCTTTAAGAGGGAGCCAGAGCAAGCCTCTGCTGCTGCTGTTCCATCCCAGGGGAACATGCAGTCATGCTGAACGTTGAACGTGCCCGTGATGATTACTGATGATGTTTGATTCTCAGTATGGATCCTTTTCTGGTGCTGTGTAAAGATTGCCTAGTGGTAAATTCCCGGGTTGAGTCCCCTACTCTTAGGGTCTTCCCCTCTCCCTGTTCTTTCTCTCACTCTCTCTCCCCTGCTTCTTAAAATTTGCTACTTAAATAAACTACTTGTTTCTTTATACTACAAGGCTTGCAGAGTATTTCTTGCTGATCGAACTAAAAGTAACTAAGTCTGTGCACAGCAGACAGCTGAAAAATAATTTGCTGTCACATGAGTATAAAGTAAACTGAAAATAGATCTTTGTAAAATTAAGAGTGGGAATAGTAGATGAAGGAAGAAGAAGAGTGAGAGCATGGGTGGGAGGGAGGGTAGGGTGGGAAGAATCACTGTTCCTAAATCTGTATATATGGAATGAATGAAATTCATATACCTTAAATAAATGTTTTTTTTTAAAGTAGAAAGACCACAATTCCACAGGAGTATAAATAAGGGCTAAAAACCACAATCAAATCAAATTTCCTTTTTTCCCTTTAATCCATACTTGATTTGGGAGTCCTTACCCGTATGCATTTGGGGAGATAGTTTAATACAGTGGCCTTGAGTGTGAAGGCTTCTCCACGGATCACAGAGTACGGTAATGTGAGCTCCACAAAGAAGGGCTTGAAGGCTCGGAGAGAAGCAATGGGAGACAGACCAAGCCCAGTGTCATTGGACAGGCACAGGGCCTCTGCTTTCCACTCAGTGATGGTATCAGGAACTGTAGCTTCTACTTCAGCCATTCCTGATGAGCTGGGGAGGATGACAATGTGATGAACAGAAAGGAAGTAAGTATATTGGTTATTTTTGAGACAGTAATTGATGAGTGTGTTCTAATACCATACTTCTGAGTCCTTTCAAAAGAATTAAAGAAAATGCACAGTTTAGTAAGGGCCCATGATGGAAAAATAAAAGGCATTTAAACAGTTCTGTTTCCCCTACTATGGTCACATCATCCACATCACCTAAAAGTCTATACTATTGTTTGAAATCTGAATATGGATTTGAACTTGTCATTGGTACTTCCATTTCTAAAATGCAATCTGAGAAATTCATGGATTATAATTGTATAAAATGGTTTAATCCATGTAGAGTTGCTTTAAATTTATTTTTCAACACACTGTTCCTGAATATTATTAAATTTAGAAAGCTAGAGAACACACCAAGATGGCAGAATAGTAGGGAGCTTACTGTTCTAGTCTAGGGAAGATAGTTAAAAAAAATGGTGAAGAAAGCCCAATCTCAGGAAGGGTTAGTGAGAAGACGGTAGAGGAAACTCCATGCAAATTAGAGAGACACTGTGGACCTATGTGGAGGGTATGGACACACATAACTCAGGACTCCAGCAGCCAAGAACCTCAGTACCAGCTTTAGAGAGTGCGGTGAGCCCAGACTACAGCAGCCCAAGCCACTTGTGATAAAGCTGCTGGAAGAGCCTGGCATGAGTATGGCTTGGAGCCCTGTGGGGGACAGTGTACCTGCCAACCTATAAGGAATAAAGGGGGGCATGTTTCTCTCTCCCTGACCACCCAGCACTGGCATCTTGTAACTAGCTGAGAGAGGGTGGGTGTCATTTTGGACATGTAACAGCTGCACCAACTCATGTCCATGTGCCCAGCAAATAGCAGAGTGAGATGCCTGAGCCTGGTTGGGAGAATTGACAGGGTCTGGGTGCCCATGACTGTGAAAACACTGTGGCTGCATGTGAGGGTGCAGGGTGTGGCTGGGTCTTTGGGCAGTCACAGTGGGAGTCTCCATGTGCTCCAAACTCCCTGATTCCCTGCTGAGGGTCATTGTTGCAGAATGTGTGCTCAAACTGAGGACTGCATAGATCCTTTGTGTTGTTCTTGTGGCAGTGTGAATGAATATTATACCCACTGGGGCTAGTGACCAGGCATTGATTTCCTTGGAGGAGAGGAGATGAGCATGAGACTATGCCAACAGAACAGATTAATCCTCCCCTTTGATTAAAAAAAAAAAAGAAAAATAAGAAGAGATTTACCATGTCCAATTTGTGTGTCACCTTGGACACTCCCCTCAACCTGAAGCACTGACAGAGCTCTCTGGCCACACCCGGCACACACCTCATGGTATTCACTGAAAGAGCAGACACTGCACTAATCCACAGAGGCATAGTCCAATGATAAAAGCCGTGACAGGGAAAAAAGTCCCTACAAGTATTTCCACAAATACCAAAGGTAAATGCAGCAACCCAAGAAACAAGAACAAGGAAGACAACATGATGCCTCCAAAGGAACACAACACTTCAATACTAGAATGTGAAAATGAAGAGACTGAAGAAATGCCAGAAAGGGAATTCAAAAAATTGTAGGATTACTTAGAAGTAATCAGAAGCAAATCCAAGAATTAAATAAATCCATACATGACATGAATGAACATTTTTTCCATGAAACTGAGATTTTTAAAGAGGGAGGAGATGCATAATTTGGGACATGCTCAATTGGATTTGCCCCAGATGGTAGAGTTAGAAACGTGCCAGGGGATTCCAATTCAATCCCATCAAGGTGGCATGTACCAATGTACCAATGCCATCTCACTAGTCCAAGTGATCAATTTCAGTTCACAATTGATCATAATGATAGGACTAAGAGTCAAAGGGATCACATAAACAAGTCTAGTGTCTCCAAATACTAACTGTTAGAATAAAAAAGGGAGAGAATGATCCAACATGGGAAGTTAGATACACAGCAGACCCATAGAATGGCAGATGTCCTAAACAGCACTCTGGCCTCAGAATCAGCCCTTAAGGCATTCAGATCTGGCTGAAGAGCCCATGAGAGTATTTTAGGCATGGAAAGCCAAGACAAACACCTAAATGAAAGATCTCTGCAAGTGAGATCCCAGTGGAAAGAACAGGTCATCAAAGAAGGAGGTACCTTTCTCTGAAGGGAGGAGAGAACTTCCACTTTGACCATGGCCTTGTCTAAATAAGATCAGAGTCAGTGAACTCAAAAGGCTTCCATAGCTATGGCAACTCATGACAAGAGCCTAGGGTGATACTGACACCATAAACAAGAGTGTCAATTTGTTAAGTCAACAACAGGAGTCACTGTGCACTTACTCCTCATGTATGATCTCTGTCGTAAAAGTGTTGTACATTGTAAGTTAATGCTATAACTAGTACTCAAACAGTATTTTTCACTTTGTGTTTCTGTGTTGGTGCAAACTGTTGAAATCTTTATTTAATATATGCTAAATTGATCTTCTGTATATAAAGTTAATTGAAAATGAATCTTGATGTGAATGGAAGGGGAGAGGGAGCAGAAGAGGGGATGGTCGCAGGTGGGAGGGACGTTATGGGGGGAAGCCATTGTAATTCACAAGTTGTACTTTGGAAATTTATATTCATTAAATAAAAGTTAAAAAAATAAAGATTTGAACTATTTAAGGGATGAAAATAATGATAGTGCTTATAAGTACTGTGAACCATTTTGTGTTTGAGGCATCCAAAATTCAAGTGTTTACTAGATTTTTCTCCTGAAATCCTGCTTATTTGTGCTTCATGTATTTATTTTTATTATTGATGTTGTAAAACAGTAGAGTAAAAGTGTCTATATCTATGTTCATTATGAATCCCATAGCTTTCTAGTTAGGAAAAAATAGTCTCAAAAATACTCTTAGTGTCATTTTTTTGGTTAGTATTTTACCCACTTATGGTATTTTAGGCACCTTTAATCATTTTAATAAGGTGTTTATACAAATTTTAAAAATTACATATTATATCTGAACTAGTTAGTGAAGAGTAAGAAAAAATAGCTTATTGAGACTGTAGATGTTCCATTAGTTAAATTTCAAAAGTTTTAAAAAGAATATTCAGAGATAGGTTAAGATCCAATGGTATGTATTAAACTAGCTCCTGTGATGTGGAAAGGATCTCTGGAAGCAGTGGAAGACATGTTAAGGCACTTAACTTACCTAGTTGCCATGGTTGTGGTTGTGTTGTGATCGTATTTTAATACAGGTAATGATACACTGACACTTTCGTTGCCCGATAATCTAGAGTAGTATAAAATAACTAATTGTCACTGCATTAGCTATAATGTTAAATTGGCAAGTTGTAGCATGAGGCTTAAATCTTTATTTTTCAAATGTGAACCATAGTAGTCTAATGCTGTTTTGTATAAAGTACAAATGCTACAAATAGTCTCAGCACTCAACATGTATTAATACCTCTCAGATGAATGCAACCTTTCATATAAGTGTTTCAATATGCTTCAGAAAGTATCTGAGTCTCTGTGAGTTTGTTAATCTGTTTGGTAATGAAGATACTTCCTGGTTTTTGTTGTTGTTGTTGTTGCATATTTTTATGTTTAAATTTGAGTTTTTACATTTTTACTATTGTTAATTTAAGTACAATTTGTTCAATGGTTAAAATGGGATTGTTAGTGAAGAAACTTAAAAAGAGCCTCATTTATGTAACGGCTTAAGTCAAAACTATCTTTTATGTTCTAAGTTCATACACTACTAATGATCTGTATTTCTGTTTAAATATAAGTGATGATGTTTAAAATAAAATAAAATTAAGTTAAACTTTAAAAAGCTAGCATTTTCTGGTAGTATCAGGAATACAAAGATTTATAATTGGTGTGTTGATACACTTCCAGTGAAATTTTATAAATCAGCCTTCTTCTGCCTTGAAATGACAGAAACTATTAGGAAAATAGTTGAAATAATGAAACCATGTACACACACCCAAAGCAAATCATACAAATGGAAGTTACTCACTTTACCACTACCAATTCCCAGATCCAGGTTTCAGGAAAATAGCTTCGCGCAGTCTTAGGGAGTGTTAATGGCGTCATCCTCTCATTCTGTATTGTATCAGTCGCCAGAACTATCACAATGAGAGAAAAAAGTACACTGGTTTGAGACTATTTCCATGCAATGTGATCTGAATATATAATGTGGACAAATATTCAGTTTTCCTGCTAAAATTAAAATTTTAGGAAAACTGTACTTGGAGCAACATATTGAGCCACTCATTTTCTGGGTGGCTCGAAAGTATACAATCTTGGAGAAAATAGAACCTTGCGTTGGTGGAGCCAGAATGAAAAATGGTGCATAGTTTCTGGGTTGGGGCAGTTGGGGTAGGCTTCCAAAAAGACAGTAAAGGGGCTGGTGCTGTGGCACAGCAGGTTAAGCCATCAGCTGCATCACTAACATTCAATAGGGGCATTCCTTCAAGCCCGCTGTTCCACTTCCAATCCAGCTCCCTGCTAATGTGCCTGGGGAAGCAGCAGAGAATGACCCAAGTGCTTGGGCCCCTGCCACCCACATAGGAGACCTGAATGAAGCTTTGGGCTCCTGGCTTTAGCCTGCCTCAGCCCTGGTTGTTGCAGCCATTTAGGGAGTGAACCAGCAGAAGGAAGACTTCACTCCTTCTTTGTAACTTTGCCTTTCAAATAAATAAAACAAATCTGTGAAACCAACAAACAAAAAAGAAAAAAACAAAAGACAATAGAACTTTGGCCTTTGAGAGAAGCAATAATCCAATATGCAAGGCCGGCGCCGTAGCTCACTAGGCTAATCCTCCGCCTAGCGGCGCCGGCACACCGGGTTCTAGTCCCGGTCGGGGCGCTGGATTCTGTCCCAGTTGCCCCTCTTCCAGGCCAGCTCTCTGCTGTGGCCAGGGAGTGCAGTGGAGGATGGCCCAGGTGCTTGGGCCCTGCACCCCATGGGAGACCAGGATAAGCACCTGGCTCCTGGCTCCTGCCATCGGATCAGCGCGGTGCGCCAGCCGCAGCGCACCAGCCGCGGCGGCCATTGGAGGGTGAACCAATAGCAAAGGAAGACCTTTCTCTCTGTCTCTGTCTCTCTCTCTCACTGTTCACTCTGCCTGTCAAAAAAAAATAATCCAATATGCATTTGAGGCAAGGATGTATTTGCTGTAGTGAAATCGTTTGAATACATAATGAGCAGAGCTGAAGCATGTTAGTATTATCACTGATAGAGATTCTTTCAATGTTTTTCTTTCTGCAGTCCATAGAACCAAATGAAGTGTGTTAGCTTATCTACCCAATTTTAAAAAAAAGCAAAACAGGGAAAATTACAAACTGCTGGACAAAATAAAGACAAAAATCAAGTTCCTATCAAGTGCAATTCTTTGGTAGGGCAAAAGAAATGTATGACATAGAGTAACTATAAGGTTGGATTGGAGTTGTACTGGTCATCAGTGAAAATCTAGTAAGACAGCTCTTCTGTTCTGCACTTTATTAAAATATGTACAGATGAAGATTCAGAGTTAAAGATTCTAAGAGGGGCCAGGATGTAATCTTCCATCTGCTGCGCCAGCATCCCATGTGGGTGCCAGTTCTAATGTCGGCTGCTGCACTTCTAATACAGCTCTCTGCTGTGGCCTGGGAAGGCAGTGGAAGATGGCCCAAGTGCTTGGGCTCCTACACCTGTGTGGGAGACCCAGAGGAAGTTCCTGGCTCCTGGCTCCTGGCTCCTGGCTTGTGATCCGTCCAGCTCTGGTCATTGTAGCCATATGGGGAGTGAAGCAGCAGGTGGAAGATCTCCCTTTCTTTCTCTCTCTCTCCCTGCCTCCCTCCCTCTTACTCTCTGTAACTCTACCTTTCAAATAATAAATAAAAAATAAAAAATCTAAGACTTCCACTCTTGAGTTTTCTTATTTTCAGAAATAATTTGTGAAGAGCAGATACAATAGGAGATTCCTTACATGATTCTTTCCCCATACCTTTCTCATTCAGAGATTTCTGCATTTATATAGTTTCATTTCTCCATATCCTTCTCTGGAATGGCCAGCAATTTCTTTACTTGGTCTCTTTCTGTTTGACTTTAATTCCTCAATGTTTTCTGATGTTTCACGCCTCCATTCACAAGCTTAAGCATCTATGGCAACCTGAAAATTTATCCCATAGGTATGGTAGCCATGGTCCCTAAGCCCCCTAATGGTTTTGGGGAACTATAAAAATGTCTTAATTTCTTTCCAAACAATGATGAAAAAGTGTATATAACCCAGCCTGGATTATATTTGTCTTTATACCTACACATATATAAAATATTTTAGTGTGTATATATATATATATATACACACATAGATATGTAAAGCAAAGGAATTCTAGTAAACTTGAACATCCTAGAAAGATTCCTGGATTGAATATAACCTTTTCGGGACATAGACTCCTGTTACTATTTTCTTTTCCCTTATTCTTTATCCATAAATCAAATTACATATTTATCTTCATGATCTAATTATTTTGAGGCTATGTTGAAAACCAACTGCTGTTGGAACTGTTGGAATGCATGTTATAAGATTATATTTTGGAAAAAGAGGAATGCTGTTTGGAAAATAGGTTGGTTATGTCCTGAACTTACAGGCTAGTAGCACTTTAGGATCTGTCTATAGATGTCACTTTAGATATCAAAGACTATAGTAAATAATTCTTTAAATAGTCATTATCCTGGGGATAGATTATAATAGCATCGTATAAGCCGGCGCCGTGGCTCAATAGGCTAATCCTCCACCATGCGGCGCCGGCACACCGGGTTCTAGTCCCGGTTGGGGCGCCAGATTCTGTCCCGGTTGCCCCTCTTCCAGGCCAGCTCTCTGCTATGGCCAGGGAGTGCAGCGCAGGATGGCCCAGGTGCTTGGGCCCTGCACCCCATGGGAGACCAGGAAAAGCACCTGGCTCCTGGCTCCTGCCATCGGATCAGCGCGGTGCGCCGGCTGCAGCGGCGGCCATTGGAGGGTGATCCAACGGCAAAGGAAGACCTTTCTCTCTCTGTCTCTCTCTCACTGTTCACTCTGCCTGTCAAAAAAAAAATAGCATCGTATAATATATGAAATGAATATCTTATAAAATATTATTGTCTAATGTAAGGAGGGAACTTATAAAAGAATTATTTTTTCATTGTGTTAATGAAATTAAGCCTGAAGAAGAAAATTGACTTGCTCTGTGCTGCACATCAGGACTTTTGGCTCCTGACTCAGTCTTCAAACTTTTTTAAAAAGATTTTTTACTATGCCAACAAAGACAGCTTAGTGAAAGATGACATGTTGAAAAGGGTGGGTAGAATCGGAGGGGAAAATGCTTGGCTTTGGGCTCTGCAATTAAGGAGCCTGAAACCAAGACTAAACATGAAACATTTAGGATAGGATTAGGAGATAGAGAAAGTACACTTCATTTATATGTGATTGCTATATGTGATTATTGCAAATTTCACTATAATTTGACTTAAAGCTATATAATTTCTTCTAATATCTTTTTCTTTGCTTGAAATGTTTCCTTTTCCTCTTCTGGCACCTTCTGTACACTTGGGAAAGTTCTCTTCATTCCGTATGAGCTATTTCCTCTATGTAATGTTTTCATACTTCTCAGGATTATTCTCTTTTCAACATTTTTTATTTTAATTTTATTTTTTTCTAATTTGAGAGAGAGAGAGAGAACAAGAAAGACAGGTAAGGGAGGGAGTTCCCATCTGCAGGTCCAGTCCCCAAGTGCCTGCCATGTTGGAGCTGGGCAAGGATGAGGCTGGGAGCAGGGAACTCAATGAAGGTCTCCCATGTAGGTGGCAGGGATCCAATCACTTGAGCCACCATTGCTGCCTCCTAGGGCCCACATTAAGAGGAATCTGAAGTCGGAGGCCAGTATTGGATGTAAAACTCTGGTGCTGTGGCATGGAATGCAGGTATCTTAACTGCCAGGCAAAAAGCCCACCACGTTCTCTTCTCATGTATCCTTTGTACACCTATTGTAGTAATTATTATGTTTTATCTTTTTGTCTTTTTTGTTTGTTTGATTTTGCTTACTGGGTGGCAATGTCGTGTCCAATAGATCAAAAGATTTGTTTCCACTGGATCTGCTACTTACTGTCATCATAACTTTGGGCAATTAATTTATACCATGTAATTGTAGACTCCATCTTCCTCATGTAGACAATATACCTGCCTTACCATGTAATTGTTATCATATTTGCTTTATTTCCTTTACTTTAAAACATAAACTGATTTGCGATTTTACCTGGCATTGTGTAGAAAGCACATAGTTTGGGATATTTGATCTTCAAGTTAGTGAATACATTTAAGCCCATGTCCTGGAAAGACAATGATTACTTGATCAAACATAAATATTTAAACATTTTTTTTGAGTATTGTTAATCAGAACACTTTTTATTGATATTTTAAATGTTTCTATCAACTTCTTTACCCAGTGTGGATAATATCATGTAAGTTTTTTTTAACTTTTATTTAATGAATATAAATTTCCAAAGTACGATTTATGGATTACAATGGCTTCCCCCACATACTATCCCTCCCACCCACTACCCTCCCCTTTCCCACTCCCTCTCCCCTTCCATTCACATCAAGATTCATTTTCGATTAACTTAATATACAGAAGATCAGCTTAGTATACATTAAGTAAGGATTTCAACAGTTTGCTCTCACACAGAAACATAAAGTGAAAAATAATAGATGACTTTTTTTAAGTGATGATGAAATCAGATCAGACCTATTGTCATGTTTAATCCCAGTGAGAGTCAAGTTGGGAGTTGATAATTTCTTTTTTTTTTTTATTTTTACAGAGGATCAGTTTAGTATACATTAAGTAAAGATTTCAACAGTTTGCACCCCCATAGAAACACAAAGTGAAATATATTGTTTGAGTACTCGTTATAGCATTAAATCTCAATACACAGCACATTAAGGACAGAGATCCTACATGAGGAGTAAGTGCACAGTGACTCCTGTTGTTGACTTTACCAATTGACACTCCTGTCTATGGCATCAGTAGTCTCTCTATGCTCCGGTCATGAGTTTCCAAGGCTATGGAAGCCCTCTGAGTTCTCCAATTCTTATCTTGTTTAGACAAGGTCATAGTCAAAGTGGAGGTTCTCTCCTCCCTTCAGAGAAAGGTACCTCCTTCTTTGAAGACCTGTTCTTTCCACTGAGATCTCACTCGCAGAGATCTTTTGCCATGCCTGAAATACTCTCATGGGCTTTTCAGCCAGATCCGAATGCCTTTAGGGCTGATTCTGAGGCCAGAGTGCTATTTAGGAAAAAGTCAATTTTTTGTAAAAAAATTGGAATACTGATCCATGCTATTATGTAACTTATGTAAATTATTATATAACTTTTCTATAACAAAAGTTAACAGAAAACTGAATCAAGTAGTGGAATAATGGAATTTTATTTTCTGAAGACTCTTCAAATGTTGTTACTCATGTTCTTTAGCACAACAAAGCTGAGCATTGTAATGCTGAGTGTGAAAAGGATTTATAGTCCAAAATTCATCCTGGCCTTGGCTGTGTTCTGATTATCTGTTAGCTGAGTAAGACACTAACCCTCACTAGGCCTCAGTTTCCTCAGCAGAAAAATGAGAACTCGCCCTGAGCATGTTAAAACATTCTTTACCAATGTGATCTTCTATTAATCCTACATAATTTATAGAACCCTAATGGCTCATAATGGGTTTTACCTTTACAAGTCTGTAGACATCTTTTTCATCTCTGTCTACAACTGGGTATGGGAATGAGTCAGAGGAGACATGTTTGATACAGTTTTCTTCTTCATCTTTTGTCCTGACGATACCTTTCAGATGTGCCAAATTATATACCTATAAAGTATGAGAAAACAAGTGGCATTGTTTTCTTCAGCTTTCTTGGATAAACTCAGTAAAAAAGAACTAATGTGGCCAATGCAAATCATTTCTTGAGTGTGTTTACTACCTATTACAAAGTTTTTGTAGATATTTTCTTTTGAAGAGTGCTTTTTCCTAAAAGTGTTTATGATATTCAAGAAAAAATGTGTTCCACATACTAAAGAGTATCAGAAAGCATCAAGAGAATGTTCAAATTCTTATGTTTGAGGGAAATATTTCTAATATTATTATAACATTATAATATGACATGTAAATGTAATAAAAATGTAAAATAAATGTAAAATTAAATATCATGTAAATTTGTAAAAATGTAAAATTACATGTAAATTTTATATTATAACATTACATATAAATGTAATCAAACATGTTTCTAATACACCAGACAGTTAATATATAGAATTTCACTACACAAAAGGTGTCTAAGCTAGTTTTATGGATATTACCCTTAAGGAACACACAATTTCAGTTAGGTTTATTATTGGAGTAGGTATAAAGCAATGTTGCCACTATTAAAGGGGCTTATATCTACCCATTTTTACCTTTGTATGTAGAATGGAAAATGAATTTCCTGTTCTAAATAGTTACATAAACAATCACATATCTATCTATGTCAGATCATGTAAAAACAAAAAATAATTAAAATCAATTGGTAATTTACAAACAGAAGTTAGATTTTTAAAAAAAACTATTATTAAAACTGCTATGTTCTATTATGTTATATGTGTATACATATTGTAGATCTACATGGGAAAAATTATTAAGAGTTTTCTTTTAATTGGCTTATAGTTAAGATTGCCCATAAATTTAAACAGCTAAAATTAATGAAAGATACATTTTAATTCATATGACCTGAATCTCTGTATCATATGTTTTAGACTTGATGGTAGAAAAAAACTAAAAGGCCAGCGCCACGGCTCACTAGGCTAATCCTCTGCCTTGCTCGGCAGCACACCAGGTTCTAGTCCCGGTCGGGGCGCCGGATTCTGTCCTGGTTTCCCCTCTTCCAGGCCAGCTCTCTGCTGTAGCCAGGGAATGCAGTGGAGGATGGCCCAAGTGCTTAGGCCCTGCAGCCCATGGGAGACCAGGATAAGCACTTGGCTCCTGCCATCAGATCAGCACAGTGCGCCGGCCATGGCACGCTGGCCATGGTGGCCATTGGAGGGTGAACCAATGGCAAAAGGAAGACCTTTCTCTCTGTCTCTCTCACTGTCCACTCCGCCTGTCAAAAAAAAAAAAAAAAAACTAAAAACATTCTATATGTTTGTGCTTAAGTCTACTGGTTAAACAAGCTACACCATGTTAAATATTTAAGAGATGCTTCCAAATATATGTATTCTTAATATTTATGGAAGGCATTGCACCTTCTGGTAAATGTTTTCTTAAGTTGTTATCTAATGGTTGAAACTGTTTGCTAAGTTTTCATGTGCTATTGCTATTGTCAGTAAGCGATCTGGGACTTGCTCCCCCATTTCTCAATTCTAAGCCCAACTTGTTCTCTCATTTCTCTATTCTCTTCAAGGTAGGAAACTAATTCTATTATGAAGGAATCTCCAAGATGCAAAATCTGATTTTAGATCTTATGAAGGAGATGGCTAACATTTTTCTGTAATAGCATAGCCAAAATAAGAGCTTAAATTATAATTTCTTAGCTAGATTTACTTCGCCATCAGCGAGGTGAACAGGAAAGACCTCCCTTTCAGAACAAAGGGAAAGAAAGTTTTAAAGTGAGAATATAGTTTTCCCCATGGGCATTGTCTACCTTAGAAAAACTGCTACAGAACATGCCTGTGACTACAGACTTCAAGTTTAGGCCACCTAGGATTAGAGATGGGACTGGAGCACCCCCTTGACTTGCATCCTCTGGTCTGCTTTAACAAAAACCAGGAGGAAAAGAAAGCTAGGCATCAGAAGCAATGGGTGGCAGGCCTATTAATGGCTGATCTGCCCTCAAGGAGACCTAACAGGCCAGTCCACTGCAGTGGCTTCTAATGTGATAAGACTGGGCTTCAGCAGAAGTCAGCTTATGAAGAGCCCTGGCAGCTCTGCCAGCCAAGGGTTGGATCACTGGAAATGGACCTGCCCTGGAGTCAAAGGATGCCCAGGTCAGAGCCACAGATCGTATTGGCTCTAAGCTGAAAAGCCCTTCACTCAGCTCAGCTTCCAAAGTGACCACCGCAGCTGAGGGGATGGCCAAATAGGGTCAGCAACATTGCAGGCAGAACTGTAAATTTCCTGTTGGAGTTGCCACCTGCCTTTCCCTGGCCAGCTGTCCTCCCAGGCCAGCTAGGTAATGGAAGTCAACAGGGTGCCTTCCCCAAGGAGGTTCTCACCTCCCTTAGGATGTAGGCTATATGAAGAGACAGATGAGTCTGAGCCTCATAATTTACAAGGCCTAAAGCCCACCAGATTATTATCAAGCCCCTTCTGTCAGGTTATATTTGCCTCTCAATCAGAAAACTTAATTGTAGCTCAGGTAGCACCTTTCTTAGCTCCTCTAATAATGATTCTGTTCTTTGTTCTAGACCCAGTCCAGCCCACTTGGGTCTCATTCCTTTGTAATCATAACCTCTACATCACCACCAATGGCTCTACTCCCAGCCTGCAAACCTGTGTGTACTAATGGTCCTCTCCCCCACTTAATGTTGTATGATTGTTCAGAATTTCTATACAGACAAACCCCGCTACCTGCAAAGTTAAGTGGCTTTTCTCCAGGCTTGGCTGGAATCAGCCTTAAGTCACATCCATCAAACTGTCCCCACAAGGGTCCAGAGACACCCCCCCCCCAATTTCCTCTCTATGAAATCCTCTCATTACCTGGTTAATGCTACTCTTAGCATCATTGGTTACTATTCTCACCCTGTCTTTTATACTACAGTGTCTAAGTGTTTACTGCAGGTTATAATGGAACAAACAAAAGCCTTCAACAACCAGGTGGTCAACCAAATGCTGCTACAAGGATTTACTCAGCTCCCCACCCAGGAGACAGCGACTTGAGACATTGCCCCATGCCAGCGAAGTGTACCTTGTCGCCCCATGACAGCAGGAAGTAGCTCTAAAGACAGATCATCTTCCCTCTACCCCTCCTGGACTTTTGGGACTAATATAGCCCCATACAAACCCAGATCAGTGTAGTCCACTATTTGTAGGATGTAAAGTCTGAAATGTTTTATCCAATAATGTTCCACAATTCTCTGTTGTTCCATATGTGCTCAAATATGAGATGTTTTTCTACCAAATTATTGTTCAGAATTTTTTTGTGCATTGGTCCTTGAAGATTATTTTTCATGTTGTAGAGTATTCTCTCTCTCTCTCTCTTTTTTTAGAGAATTCTCTTAACTACTTGAGAGCCACCTAAGTTGTCTGAGATAGGACACTATAACAGTCAATGTTTGTGCTGTGTCTGGTCATTCTACTCAAGCTCCTGGTAGTGCTGATTCAGATAGAATTAGACATTTGGGTCATTAGGTTTCATTTTTCATAAAAGTATGTGCTCCCCATGTTCATCATATAAACACAATTGATTTTTTTAAAAAATGTTAATATAAAGAGGACAGATTTCTTGGATTTCATAGGCATAGTCTAAGAAGATAACCATATTTTCTTCACTTCTCCCTCCCTCCCTCAGTCTGCCTTCCTGCTTTTCCTTTTGTTTTTTAAATTTTTGCCAAAATATAAATCCACCATAATCACATTCTTAGTGCACCACTAATCATAATATTCAACAAGTAAAATGTAGAAAACTATTGATTTTTTCTGTCTTAAATAAAAGTTGATGTTTAAATTCTTCAAAATTATGTCTTAATTATTACATCTTAATAATCCAAGCTATAATACATGAGATTAGAAATAGAGAAACTGCAAATGATGTAGCTTATGGAAGAACGTCATGTCTTAGCAACTAAACAAGATACTGATGGGGCTGGTGTTGTGGCATGGTGGATTAAGTCATTGCCTGTGAGGTCAGCATCCCATGTCCAAGTGCGAGTTTGAGTGCTGGCTGCTCTGCTTCAGATCCAGCTCCCTGCTAATGCACCTGGGAAGGCAGCAGAAGATGGTCCAAGTACCTGCACACCTGCCACCCAGTGGGAGATTGGGATGCAGTTCTTGGATCCTGGCTTTTGCCTAGCCAAGCCTGGACCATTGTGGCCATTTGGAGAGCAAACTAGTGGATGGAGGATGGATTCTCTCTCTCTCTCTCTCTCTCTCTCTCTCTCTCTCCTCTGTCTCTGTCACTGTGCCTCTCAAATAAATACATCTTTTTTAAAAAAGAAAGTTACTGATGAGGCACAACCAAGTTTGCCAGACAAGACCCCAAAAAGTCTCAGGATTTGAAGATAGAGAGTCCCTTAGAAGGCAGGGAGTGGGGAAGGAAGCAGAAAACAAGGAGATAAATTGAAAAACAGTACACCAGTGAAATGCTAGCCCAGTTTCCCACTTAGCTCCAGAATGCTAACTGCCTGTCATACGTCTCTTAGGGAAGAGTTAGTTCCTGGGACAAAATGGACATTCAAGAATAATAAAGTAAATGCCTTCAAAACTTCCACTGATAATCATTTTCTAACTAAATTTCTGTACTAAGTCAAAGTATTTTTGAACATAAGTACAATTTATTTATTTATTTAGTTTTAATCTTTCCATCAATGGCAATTTTAAAAATTTATTTGCATGCATTTCTTGGGTTCTGCTTTAAAGCATTTTTAAAATATTTATTTATTTATTTATTTGAAAGTCAGAGCTACACAGAGAGAGAGAGAGAGATCTTCTGCTCAATGTGCACTCCTCAAATGGCTGCAAAATGTGGGGCTGGGCCAGGCCGAAGCCAGTAGCCAGGAGTTTCTTCAGGGTCTCCCACATAGGTGGCAAGGTCCCAAGCGCTTGGGCCATCATCTGCTACTTTCCAAGGCACATTAGCAGGGAGCTGGATCGAAAGTGGAGAGCTGGGACTCGAACTGATTCCCATACGGGACGCCAGCACTGCTTAACCTGCTATGCCACAATCCCTCTCCTAAATTGAAGTATTGATTGATTATTAGAGGAAATACAGATATTCATAGTTCCCCCCAATTTTACTTCCCAGGTCTTCTTCCTCAGGATGTCACCACAAAAGGAAGAAATAAACAAGGAGGAAGTCACAAGATTCAGGACACAATAGATGAAACCAGGAGAGTGCTGAAGGGAATCCTCAAGAATGAGACTGAATGATTGGCCTAGAGAACTAAACATGACCCCAACAGGAAAAACAAGCAAAGCTGGCAGAATTGAGCTGGACAGTGTTTAACAGAATCATTAGGAAATGTGAAGACAGAGATTGAGTGAAGGGGGTGTGGGTGCAAATACATAACTAAGGCAATGATTAAACTCTAGGAAAAATAAAAACAAGAAATACAGTCATAACACACTGCTTGGTTTCAGGATGAACAGTATTTATAAGGTTATAATAATGAAAATTTACTAAAGATTTAACCTAAATTGTCATATAACTGTGATCACTGGCAAAATGAGGAGAGAACAGGAGAGGAACAATAAGGATTGACATGCTGATTTACTATGATGGAAATTAATAGATAATGTTAAAATTATGGAGAAGGAAATAAATATTAGAAGAAATACTGATGCACCAGAAGACAGCAAAGCACACAGTGGGTCCACTAGAGACCCACACATGAGCTGATCCGTATATTTTTCAGCGTCACTTTGAACTATAGGATTCACTGCGTTTAATTTCTGGGAGAGTCAGGGAATTGGGCATTAGTTGTCTGGCTCCTTGCAATGAACATTGTAAATAAAACCCTCCCCACTCCTCTCCTCCACATACCCACACACAAAGGAAGAAATAGCTAACATGATTAAAAGTACATGCTTCTGAGGAATGCAATGAGAAAGGGTGATGAGGAGCCAAGAGACATTATTGGTCCTGTTTTCTATTTTGTTATAACCCTTGTGGTATTTTATTTATATTTTAGGGTTCTTTGAGATTTCTAAGATTCTATTTTTTATAAATAGAATGGTTTTCATTTTCCAAAGATCAATATTATTCTAATAAGCTCTGTACTGAGTGTCTTAATGAAAAAAGTAAGTAATATGCATTTGAGTCATTAGTGAGATAGCAACGGAATAATAAATTATAGTATAGATAGAGTACCTGAAATTAGGTACAAGTTCAGCAGCTTGGTGGTTGTACAACTTTCTGTTTCAGTTTGAGTACATGGCTAAATTTTTCTGAACTATAACTTTATATGTTACAGTGACAGTGATGTATCTTTAGCATTGAATATGATAGCATGTTTAAAAATTTTGAATAGTTAACCCCAGACAAATGCAAAGTGTTTTAAAGTATTACTTCTTTTAAAAAGCAAATTTGAGATCAATTCAAAGTTTACTTGGGCAAGAAAAACATTACAACACTCAGCAGCAATCCTGACCAAAGATGGTTCTTTTGAAAGTTCCCTTTGCAACGTTGTGAGCTAATGACGTTAAGGGAGTACCTGATTGGAGCAGTCTGGGTTTGCCTTAATCTGCGTATAATTTGTATTGGCTGAGCTTTCTGTTCCGTGATTGGCTGAGGCTCAGTTGCTTAGCTGCAAGAGTAGCTGTATTAGGTTAGGGCTGGTTTGCGCAATGCAGTTCTGGAGAACTAAGGCCCCTTTGGGTCAATTCATCCTTCGAATGTGGAGGCTGGTTTAGGCCAATTTATCGCGGTTCAACACTTCCTTTTCTGAACAGGGGTTTCTCCTTGCTCTGAGCCACTCAAGGAGGCATTTCTGACACCTGAGTGTGATGGGAACCCACCTTGGATGCGGAGAGCTCGGCCTCGGGCTTCATGAGCAGCACGCTTTTGTCCACGGCGCGGAGGGCACAGAGGGATTGCGGAGAAGCCTCGACTCGCAGGTGGGTTTGTGAGGCCGGGAGACCTTGTGCTGGGCTGAAGCCCAGATCCACCTGTGAGGAAAGAGAAGTCATCAGGAAAGCAGGCTACGTGTTTTGCCATCTGAATGTCCCTCACATTGAACACATTAGTCTGCTAATTTATGATTGTCGGAGTTCAGTTAGTTTCTTTGTTTCTTTTTTCATAAAAGTTCATTGAGCAGTTAACATACAAGCCAGTCACATTCTGAAACAAAAAATAGGCACTTGGAATGATAGATATTCTTGTTGATTATATGTAAGGACAAACTGTATATCTGACTATATTGCTCCTGGTGAAATGTCAGTCATTCTAGTTGGAGATCATTCTCTCTCTAACCATCTATGTGTCTTTAACTGTGCTCCCATTTCACTGAGTAGAATGAAAGGAAAGGCAAGGACTCGGTTTTCAAGGATACTTTAACAAGTTCACAGAAAAGGGCCTGCGCCGCAGCTCAATAGGCTAATCCTCCGCCTTGCGGCGGCCGCACACCGGGTTCAGGACCCAGTCGGGGCGCCGGATTCTGTCCCAGTTGCCCCTCTTCCAGGCCAGCTCTCTGCTGTGGCCCGGGAGTGCAGTGGAGGATGGGTCCTTGGGCCCTGCATCCCATGGGAGACCAGGAGAAGCACCTGGCTCCTGGCTTCAGATAGGCGCGGTGTGCTGGCTGTAGCGCGCAGGCGGCAGCGGCCATTGGAGGGTGAACCAATGGCAAAGGAAGACCTTTCTCTCTGTCTCTCTCTCTCACTGTCCACTCTGCCTGTCAAAAAATAAAATACAAAAAAACTTAAGTTCACAGACAAGGAAATTAAAAGATAGATTTGTTTTGGTGCAAAAATTTGGGATCCATGCCTATGAGGGATATTTTAAAAGTTCATAGAAAATGTGTACTGTGAGTAAACCACTTCAGTGCCCAGTACAGCATGATTGAAAGTGGGCTGGTAGAAATGCACAGTGGAGTAGCAGTCGTCCGGAGTTGCAGAGAAGTGGAAACGGAGATGTGTTAGTCAAAGAGTGCAAAGGTTTGATTATACTGCTGATCAGTTCTGGAGGTCTGCCTCTACAAGTACTGTGTCAAGTCCTTAAGAGGTTAAATCTTCTATAAGCGTTCTAGTCACACATAAACACAAACAATAAGATGTGAGGGGAAAATAAATGTCTTGAACCAAGAGTTGGGAATCCTGGATGCCAGTTCTGATTTGTCTTAAAATGATGTGACTTTGAGTGAGTTATGACATTATCAGGGCTTCAGTTGTCTTCACCTGCAAAGTAATCTGTGTCATTCGTAGACTGGTGTTTTTGTTTTCTTTGTTTTTTCTAAGTTTAAGAAAGAAATCACCCACCTTGTTGTGAAGACGACATTCAATCTCCAGTTTTGCAGAATCCCCAATCATTTCCCCATCAGGAAGAACGGCATAGATGAGCAACTCTGCCAAGGGAGCCAAGTCTGTCTCCACAGGGACTGACAGAAGAAAATGGCCTTTCACTGCAGCACAGAGAGCATGAGAAGAGAAGGTTATGGGTCAGGAAGGTGACTGGAAAACCTGAATGACTGACATGCCAGGATTTGGGGGATTGTATCTTTACTGGAGACATTCTTACATCTATTCTGTAGTTAATGCTGTAGGTGTGAATGGTGTGTTTAAGATGTGAAAACAGTAGCACAGGAATCTTTTTATTGTCTCTTTTCTGCTTTGTAAAGCATTTATTTTCTTCATTAATTGATTTGAAAGACACACACACACACACACACACACAGAGAGAGAGAGAGAGAGAGAGAGACAGAAAGAAAGAGAGAAATAACCAGCTCCCATCTCCTGGTTTACTCCCAAAATGCCTGCAACATCTGAGGCTAGGTCAGGCCAAAGCTGGAAGCCAGAAATTCAATCCAAGTCTTGCCCATGGGTGGAGTCTTCCCCATGGGGTCCAACTACCTGAGCCATCACCTGCTGCTTCTCGGGATGCACATTTTCAGGAAATTAGAATCAGGAGCAGAGCCAGAACACTCACTCATGTGATTGGGGTGCCTCAAGCGGTGTCTTAACTGCTGTGCAAAACACCCTTCCCAATGAAGCATCTTTACTATTGAAAAAATTCATCTATGTCGGGGCTGGCACTGTGGCACAGTGGGTTAACACCATGGCCTGAAGTGCTGGCATCCCATATGGGTGCTGGTTCAGGTCCCAGTTGCTCCACTTCCAACCCAACTCTCTGCTGTGGCCTTGGAGAGCAGCAGAGGATGGCCCAAGTGCTTGGACCCCTGGGCCCGCATGGGAGACCCGGTGGAGTCTTCTGGATCCTGGCTTCAGATTGGTGCAGCTCCAGCTGTTGCAGTCAATTTGGGAGTGAGCCAGCAGATGGAAGGCCTCTCTCTCACTCTCTCTGTGTCGCTCCCCGTCTTCATGGAGGAACGACACTAAACCCTGCCTAGGCTTCATATCTGAGTCACGGCACCATTATGTCGCTCCCCCTCTTCGCGGAGGAACGACACAGGACCCTGCACTGTTCTTTTGTCTGCTCGGCACTCCCCGGGTTTGCTGCTGGTTCTTCCAGGGTTGGCTACCGACCCTTCCACCTCCGTGGAAGGGCGGTTCCCCCTGCCACTTTCCCCACTTCCGCGGGGGAGCGGCACACCACCGGCCGGCTCTCTCGGGGGCTGCTCAGGTGTTCCTTCAGATGTTCCTGGTGCATGTTGTCTCTATCCTCCTTTATAGTCCTCTTCCACCAATCCCAACTCTGCTACCCACACGCCGAGTACACTGCTCTCCTCCAGTCAGGAGCAGGATCAGCTCCTGCAGGTCATCACTCAAGTTGGCGAGAGGCAGCTGCGTAGAAGTTGTTGCTCCCTTCACAGCGCCATATTGTGGGAGAGCAGATGCATAGAATAAGTCTTAATTCCAGTAACAGTCTAGTCTGAGTTGCTCCCCACACTCTGCCTCTCCTCTCTTATATGTGACTCTGACTTTCAAATAAATAAATAAATCTTTAAAAAATTCAAAAAGTTAGGTAAATAGAAAATGATGATTTAGCACTGATGGAACCCAGTAATAGGACTAAAAATTATACATTATTTTGTGGAAACATTCAACAGTTAGAAGTACATATATATTTGTTTTTAAAGCCTCTTGTATGAGACAAAATTTCATAGTATTTACATTTCTCAAGTGAAAATTTTTTGTGTTTCTGTTCAATCTGAGGCTATAAATGGATCTCCTAATGATGAACTCTATGATCTGTATTTATTTTTAAAAGAGATTATTTGACACATTAAATAGCCAACAGGATGTTAAGATTGGGCAACAGCAAGTATACAATTGAACACATTTGCTGAACCCCTACCACGTATCAGTTCACTGTTCTGGGCAGTTGGAATGAAACTGTGAAATCAGACCAATAAAAGTCCCCGACTACATGCTGTTTCATGTAGAAACATTTGGAAAGAAAAAGGCAATAAATAAACTGATTAAATAATTAAATGATAGGTGTGGGGAGCAACTGAGACTAGAGAGAGCACACGGGGCGCGAGTAGATAGGAAGCGTGGGGCTAGCGCGGAGGCTGTGGGGTGGCCGTGAAAAGGCACAGAGACCGTGGAGTGCACGCGAAGCCAGGAAGCCACGCAGATGAGAGAAGCCCGGGCTGAAGCCGCGCAGAGCCGGGAAGCCGCTGCGGTGTGGGGCGCCAGGAAGCCACCTTGGGGCGGGCGCCGGGAAGCCGCGGGGATAAGAGAAACAGAAGTATAGAGGTAAAATGAGAGAAATAGGAATGCTGGCAGATAGAAGTAAAATAAGAGAAATAGGAGTGCCCGGAGATAGAGAAATAGAGAAAAATAAGGCCTCCCCACAACATGGTGATGAGAAGGCTCGGATTCGGTCTGCCTCATTAGCAAGGCAGTAAGCACCTGTGGGCAGCTTGAGCAGAGCATGCACCGCAGGGCACCGAACACAGGCACACATCAGCGCCTAAAAACCTCCCTACAACATGGCGAAGAGAGGACCCGGATTCGGTTTGCCTGATTGGTAGGGCTTGTAAGCACCTGTGGGCAACTTGAGCAGAGCAAAGCAGAGTGTGCGCCGCGGGGCACCGAAGACAGGCACGTATCAACGCCAAAAATAAAAAGAAAGGGGGAACTGTGGGGAGCAACTGAGACTAGACTCAATTACTGGAACTAGAACTAATTCTATGCATCTGCTCTCCCACAATATGGCGCTGGGGAGGAGTAAACTTCTACGCAGCTGCCTCCTGCCAATTTGACTGATAAGCTGCAGGAGCTGATCCTGCTCATGATTGGAGGAGAGCAGTGTGCTCGGCGTGTGGGTAGCAGAGTTGGGATTGGTGGAAGAGGACTATAAAGGAGGAGAGAGACACCATGCACCAGGAACATCTGAGGAACATCTGAGCAGCCCCCGAGAGAGCTGGCCGGTGGTGTGCCGATCCTCTGCGGAAGCGGGAAAAGCGGCAGGGGGTGCCGCCCTTCCACAGAGGTGGAGGGGTCGGCAGCTAACCCGGGACAGCGTTGTTCCTCCACGAGTGAGGGAACGGCAGCTAACCCAGGAAGGTCTGAGCAGATAAAAGAACAGCGCAGGGTCCAGTGTCGTTCCTCCATGAATGGGGGAGCGACAATAGGAAGTGTGTTTTCATTTGGTAAATTCTATGTAGAAAAAAATTAGGGCAGGATAGAAGAGAAGGGCATTGTAAATACCATTGTTGAATTGTAGATTATGTTTTAAAATTGTTATTTATTATTTATTTATTTATTTATTGACAGGTAGAGTTAGACTGTGAGAGAGAGACACAGAAAAAGGTCTTCCTTCCGTTGGTTTACCCCCCAAATGGCCGCTATGGCTGCAGTTACGCCAATCTGAAGCAGGAGTCAGGTGCTTCTTCCTGGTCTCCCATGCAGGTGCAGAGGACCAAGCACTTGAGCCATCCTCCACTGCCTTCCTGGGCCACAGCAGAGAGCTGGACTTGGAGAGGAACAACCTGGACTAGAACCTGGTGCCCATATAGGATGCTGGCACTGCAGGTGGAGGATTAACCAAGTGAGCCATGGCGCCAGCCCCATTTTTATTTATTATTAATTTATTTGAAAGACAGAGGGAGTGAGTGAGAGAGACAATCTTCTTTTTGCAAGTTTACTTCCCAAATGTCTGCAGCATTTAGGGCTGAGCCAGGCTGAAACCAGGAGCCAGGAACTCAATCCAGTTCTCTCAAGTGGGTGGCAGGGACCCAACTACTTGAGCCATTACCTGCTGCCTCTCAGGGTATGTATTAGCAGGAAGCTGGAATTGGAAGCAGGGCTGAGACTTGAACCCCGGGCTCTCCAGTATGGAATGCAAACGTTCTAAGCTGTATCTTAACTGCTGTGCCAAATGTCCACTGCTAAATAACAATTGTAAATTGTTATTGAGAACATGACAATTGAGTCAAGCCTTGAAAGAGGTGAGCAAACCAGCCATGTGGACATTTAAGGGAAAAACATGCTTAGAGAGAGATAAGGCAGTAAAAAAATATGTGACAGCTTTGGAAGATGTTCACATCTCTTTAAATGAAATTCAGGGATACTTTAAAGAAACCTAAAGAAACAGGATACGTAGATCACTGACTAGAAGATCATGATCCACCTGTTGGAATAGGAGACTATCTCATCTGCATTAAATTCCCCATTTTGAAATTCCTCTGTGAAACATATGTCTTTGTCCCATCTATTATGCTTTATATTTCTGCTCTTTTTGGTCATTTTTATTATTCAAAAATTGGTATAGCTAAAGCAGTCAAAGGATCAGATAAGTAACATCTAGACCTCACTGGAAAAAGAAACCAAAATAACACATTTTGCCTTTTTGGTGTTGGCCTTGGCATTACTGCATAGATTACTCATTTTAGGTATCCATGCAAGTATTTTATTTTTTCATTTATTACAGCTTCAGAGATAACTATTTACTAGTGCTAATGATGTTCAGTGTGAGATGTTTGAGATTTTATTGACATAACAGCCTACACTGGTGGCAGGATCTTTCATTCTGATTATTGGAGATGTTTAATGGGGATACACAAAAAGAACTGCAACATCCCTATTTTGCTCAGCTCTGGATGATCCATTGGTGACTTACGTACAGGGTACAGTCAGAGGAGTATTGGGAGATTGGGAAACTCACATGCTCCTGGCTCCATGGAGAGAACATGGGTTCCACTTTGGATGATGCTGCCCTTGGCCATGATCTTAAAAGAAAAAGGATTTTCCCATTCATCACTATGTTTATCATGAGGCCTGTCTCCCATATCATATCCTCATGGTTGAGATCAAGGTCAAGGCAGTGATATCCAGCCCAATGACAAAGTCCAGTGTCAAGAGAGGCAGGGTACAGAAATCAAGGATTTTGTAAATTTTTTTGCCTCATGGACTTCTTGTTTCTATTCTTCAACATGGAGTCAGCACTCACCAGGTAATAGAAGATGAGCTCCTTCAGCTCCCCCAGGACCTGGGCATTCAGGATATAATGTGCCTTAACTGTATGTGTTTGGCCACAGGGCAGGGTACCAGCTGCAGGCTCAAGTTGGACATAGCTCTTGTTTAAGGAGAAGACACGATTAGCTATATGATATGCATCTTTGTGCACTTCTTTCACACAATGGAAGGACCAACAAGGTTCCTGCTCCTTGTAGTAGGCCTGGGGAAACAAAAAGAACTATTGTGTTTTTGTCTGCTAGTTACAAAGACTTTCTCTCACAGGCCGCATATGCTTGCCCTCCCATCTGACTGAACAATTAGAAATTTTGTGCTTCTTAGTAAAAATGGAAGAAATGTCCTCCATTCTAAATAATGAACTATTAAGTGAAGCAAGTGACAGTATCCTTAATTTACAGAAGATTTTGGGGGAAATAATATATTAATGAATAGAGAAAACTGAAGAGTACCTTTTGTGTATATTATTTATCTAGACAGATCAGAACTAGAAACACTAGGAGAGCACACTGGAGAGAGTGTGATACTTAGATTTAGCAAATAGATTTCTCTATCCAGTAGGGTGTACTACAGTTGGATACATAAGTAGTGGAGGCAATTCATAGCAAATGCTACCACTACTGTGATATCATAGACTACTCTTATAAGATCTCTTCAAACTGTATGTCCTAGAACCTTGCAGAAGATGTTTTAGAGGCGATTGTCTCTATGTTCCCATGCAGAAATTTGCTCCTTAATACTTCAGAATTTAGGTGGCCCCAATCCTTGGGCCCTGCACCCACATGGGAGACCTGGAAAAAGCTCTCGGGGCCTGGCTTTGGATTGGCCCAGCTCTAGCTATTGTGACCATTTCGGGAGTGAACCAGCAGATGAAAGACTTCTGTCTCTCTCTCTCTGCCTCTGCCTCTCTGTAACTCTTCCTTTCAAATAAATAAATAAATATTTTAAAAAAATACTACTTCAGGATTCATCTTCCTTTTAACTGCTATTCCCCAAAGGTTGTGTGGTCTTTTCTGGTCTTTTCTCTCCACTTTCATTATGCTTCATTCATACTTTGATTATAACATACATAGCTCTTATATTAGTACTTTGTGGAGTTTCATAAAATGATATAGCACCATAAAAATGTGAAACATGATTATTTTTCTTATCAGGCACTAGCACAGTGCCCAGGACATACACAAATGGGAGGAATGTTTGTTGATTGAGAAAATGAATAAATATATTCTATATTTACTTCACGTATTTGAAAGACAGAGAGACCCAGTTCATATAAACAGGAAGCTGGATTGAAAGTGCAGAAGGGGTCAGCATTGTGGCATAGTGGACATGACACTGTCATCCATTGTGTGTGCTGGTTCAGTGTCCCAACTGCTCCCCTTCTGATCCAGCTTCCTGCTAATGGCCTGGGAAAAGTAGTGGAAGATGACCCAAGTTCTTGAGCCTCTGCCAGGCATGTGGGAGACCCAGAAGAATTTCCTGGTTCCTAGCTTTGGCTTTGCTTGGCCCTGGCCCTTGTGCTCATCTGAAGAGGGAACCTGCAGATGCAAGATTGACATCTCTCTCTTTCTCTGTTTCCCTCTCTCTCTCTCCCTCACTTTGATTTCAAATACATAAGTACACTTAAAAGATAAAGAAGGAAAGTGAGGCAGGGACTGACTCCAGGCATTATGATATAGGATGCCTCTGTCTCATGCACAAAATACCTGTGTTCCCCCATCGTCTATTCTCTATTGAGTAAACAAAACATATTCTTTTACTTTTTCTTTCTTTGAAAGTATTGACTAGAGAAATATATAGCAGAACATAAGTAAAAGAGGATGACTGCTGGTGAAGAACATAATATTTAAGTAATAGCTTCATGGTATGAGCATTTCTGTACTCCTTATCCCAGTGTTTCTATTATTCCATTATTCTCATATTTCACCCTAAAACAACTCAGTTTGGGTCATGAATATCTTTTCTGGAAGAATTGAATAACAGTTCTGTTACCAAGGCTTCTCCTTGTTTTTAGGTCCTCACTTCCAAACTTACTGTGATGGAGAGGATCTTGCTAGTAGTGTGGATGGTGTTGACAGAGAATTGTGCCAGACCATGCTCATCAGTGGTAGCTTTAAGGAAGAAGTTTGCACTATAAGCTTGGATGAAAATGGTTTCATTTGGGATAGGGACTCCTTTTCCATCCTCTAGGCATACCTGTAAATGAACAGTGAATAGAACTGTAGATTGGCTGGCGCCATGGCTCAATAGGCTAATCCTCCACCTTGTGGCGCCGGCACACCGGGTTCTAGTCCTGGTCGTGGTGCCGGATTCTGTCCCGGTTGCCCCTCTTCCAGGCCAGCTCTCTGCTGTGGCCAGGGAGTACAGTGGAGGATGGCCCAAGTGCTTGGGCCCTGCACCCCATGGGAGACCAGGAGAAGCACCTGGCTCCTGCCATCGGATCAATGTGGTGCGCCAGCCGCAGCGGCCATTGGAGGGTGAACCAACGGCAAAGGAAGACCTTTCTCTCTGTTTCTTTCTCTCACTGTCCACTCTGCCTGTCAAAAGAACTGTAGAATACACTTGACAATGTCACCTATCAGGAATTCAAGAGAAAAAGTTTTCTGATATTGTGTAAAGGCCATACATCACCCTCATGTTACCTTAATTCTCCTTTTTATCCTAGCTTGAGACTTTTGCCTCTTCCAAATATTTATCATTGAAATTCTGCAGGTTTTTTTTCCATTAAAAACAGAGTAGTACTTGCTAACTATCTTGAGAGTGATTTAACATATTTGATGGTGCTTGAAGAGTGAAATTAAAGATGTACTCATTTTGCTATGAAAATATTTTGAAAGCCATATATAGTTTTTTTAATAATACACATTTTCTATGAACTTTTTGAAGACACCCCATATGCAGAATCAAAACTATAGAATTCTAGTACCAAAGAGCAATGTACATAAATATCTTTTCTTTTGGGGGGGAACCATACAAAAAACCTACCAGAAAACATTTCTGTTGATCAACTCATTAATCATTAATTACTGATAACATCAAATGGTCACATGTTCTTAATGTTTGTGTTTCCTGTCACATAAGAGTATTATTTATCACACATCCACTAAGACTCATATCCTTAAAGACACTACTGATGCCTTCATATTTATCTGTGTTTCTAACTGAGAGCACTTAATCATCAGTGCATTTATCATTTGAACTAAGAGTGGCACTGAGATACTTCAATAAAATTTACAAAAGAATTGCCAGTAATTACAGATATTAAATAATATCTATCAAGAAAGGAGGGTTAGAGATAGTGTGGACTTATGAACATTTAGTCCCTGTTACTTAATGAGTGAGGCATGGTAACTCTGTGGGGCTTATAGATTTCATGAGCACCATCTATGTGTCTGAAGATCTTGCACATGTAGTCTTCTGATTTTGGTCTTATGAAGCAATTGATAATCATAACCAGGTATGATCTTGAGTGTTAGATTACATGAAACTTACATGAATCGTAAATCACTTTACCTGTCCAAAGACTGGAATACCTTGTCTAAAGTATTTATTCACTTTCACAAATGTGACTTTGGTTATGATTCTCGTGACTTCAATTATCCCAGTTCCAGTGAATTCTAGTCCTGAGAAAGATATAAAAAGAAAAACAAATGGAGATGAGCCACTTGCTTTCAAATTATTTCTTTACTTTCTTTATTGTAATCTCATGAAGAATAAGGCATCCATATTCATGGTTTTGTCTCCCATATTTTATGTAACCCACAAACCTGTCCCCTCCTCTTTAATCTTGGCGTTCACTTGAAGCTTCCTAATTAAATATCTGGAATCCTTTAATTGGAACATACTGGTGTTTACTTGTTGTGTGAGACAGCCTTGGCTGGATATCTGATAAGCAAGAAAAACAAAGAGAGAAAACAAAATGAAATGCAGGTCAGAGTGATAGTCAACCCAAACCAATACGTGAGGTCTTCTTTAGAGGAAATCAATCAACTGTCTTGTGGTTATAATATAGTCTATTGGGAAAGAGCATGGTATTCAGTCCTACCACCTGACTGCTGTATGCTACGATTGTGAAGAAGTCATGTTCTGTTTTCTGCTTTCTCCTCTATAACAGAGTGATGATAATAATAATACCTACTTCATAAAGCTGTTGTGATGATTAAATAAATTAAGACATATAATATGTTAAAACGTTGGCTGGCAAGTCATAAGAACTTAATAACTATTAGCTATTATTTAAAGAACCACTATCACTGCTTATTTGTGACTTTGATTTAGATAATCAGTTGTAATGTATGGAATGTTCCTTTCTATAGTAGTGGTGGTGGGACTACGATCTTTTGCTATATGGATATAGTTCTTCTGAATGGGATTCTTGTATTTTATAGTGATTCTTGGAGGTTAAAGAGCCTCTGAATAGTTTTTACTCACCTGCTGGCTGACTTCCTTACAGGGAAGATTTATTGTGCTTTGATCCCTGTTTAGGAAGTGAGGACCGTGTGGGCATATACTTATTGTTACATGTCCTGGGACAGGCTTCCCATAGGTATATCTGTCACAAGAAAAATATGTAGAGACAAAGGGTTTTCCACAGAGCACAGACTCACTGCTTTCCCATTCCTATTTCACATTGTCAGTTAATCATACATTTACTGTATAGTTCCATAGTGTTAACAGCAAATGGACTGATGCTTGATACTTAACTGTGCACTCAGCTTTTTTTCTAAGGGCTTTCCCTCTATTAAATAATTTCATCCTCTTAATAACCTCATGAGAGAGATGATGTTGCTTTCTCTATTTTGTAGTCCTGGCAGATGAGGTGCACTCATCTGGCTGGCAAGAGGGGAAGTTGAGATTTGAGTTCAGGCAATTTAATCCCTGACCAGTCGACACTGCCGCCTCCCAGGCTTTTCAGTATATGGCTAATGGTAACTGGAAGGGTGGCTCAATAGATTGAAAAATATTCCCTAACAAACCCTGAGTACCTCCAAGTTTATCGTAACCTTTCTCTTTTCCAGTTCTTCCATTTATTCTTTTCAAAATGTTTATTCTTTAAAATTTATTTATGTATGTATTTGACAGGTAGATTTATAGACAGTCAGAGAGAGAGACAGAGAGAAAAGTCTTCCTTCCATTGGTTCACCCCCAAATGGCTACTACAGCCGGCGCTGCACCGATCCGAAGGCAGGAGCCAGGTGCTTCTTCCCGGTCTCCCATGGGGGTGCAGGGGCACAAGCACTTGGGCCATCCTCCACTGCCATCCTGGGCCACAGCAGAGAACTGGACTGGAAGTGGAACAACCAGGACTAGAACCCGGTACCCATATGGGATGCCGGTGCCACAAGGCGGAGGATTAACCAAGTGAGCCATGGCACTGACCCCGGCCATTCAAAATGTTTATTATAACGGTCAGATGTTTGGCCTAGTAGCTAAGACACCAGTTAAGATGCCCACATCCCTTGTTGGAGTTTCTGCATTTGAGTCCCAGCTCCAGTTCCTAATCCAGGTTCCTGCTAACGCAGATTCTGGAGGGTAACAGTGATGACTCAAGTGATTTGGTCCCTGCCACCCATATGGGTGACCTGGATTGAGTTTCTGGTTCCTGGCTTTGACTCTGGCCCAGCCCTGGCCAGCTCAGGGAATGAGGAAATGAACAAGTGGATAAATACTCTCTTTATTTCCCGCTATGTACACCCATCTGTCTGCCCCTCAAATTAAAAAAAAAATGTTTATTGTAATATCTCATACCAAAACTGAGAAAGCCGGCTCCCCTCTATTCGACCCTTAGGTAGATGTGTGAGTTACCTCTGCTATAGGAGGATTTGGAATTTTTATTTCCATGACTGTAGACTTCAATAGCAATTTCAAATTTTTTAATTCAATATTCTTATTTTTCTGATAGCTAAATGCAAGTTCAAAGAGAAAGTAATATGCTGGGGTGGTGTGGTGGTGGGCCTTGTGGCACAGTGGGTTAAGCTGCCACTTGGGACTCCTGCATCCCATATTGAAGTTTGTGTCCTGGTGCCTCTGCTTCTGATCCAGCTCTCTGCTAATGTATTCTAGTGGGTGCAGAAGATAACTCAAGGACTTGGGCCCTTGCCACCCACTTGGGAGACCCAGATGGAGTTTCTGGTCCCTAGCTTTGGCCTGACCCAGCTGCCCAGCTATGACCCTTGAGTGTTGTGGAGATTTGGGGAGTGATTCAGAGGATGGAAGGTCTCTTTCTCTCTGTCTGTCCATCTCTCCCTCTCTCGCTTTCTCTCTCTCTTCTTCCAAATAGATATTCATTTTTTAAAAAAATAACTGAAAAAGAAAGTAATATGCTTAAAATCAAAATACTTAGTGACAGGTGCTAGATTTACAGCAAGGGCTGGGAACTCTTAGTTCTAGGCTGTTTCTACTACACCTCGATGGTTCAGAATGACATCACATCTGGTGTGTGATTCTCTTTCCACATTCTATTGAGAGGGTCTTATCCTGTGCCTTTGTATCTCCAATGATGCGAAGTCTCTTTGCTGCCTAAGACATTTCATTCCCTCACGGGAAAAACTCTGCCATCATACCATCATACCACAAAGTTAAACAGCAGATATTTGGGGCTGTCATGGGTATAAAACAGTGATTTTAATGAAGAAAGAAAGAAGAAAATCATATATCACATATTCTTACATAGAATAAGAGGATGGGATAATATCACTAGAAATACAGAAGTGTAATGCAGAAGGGAGTAGAGAAAGGATGGATAATGGGTACCAAAACACATGAGTAATTAGTTCTTGTGTTCTGAGCACAGTAGAGTAACTGCAGGATACACAGTTTATGACTTATTTTAAACTAACTAGAAAAGAAGAGTCAGTGATTTCCTAGCACACAGAAGTGATAAATGTTAGAGGAAGTAGAAATGTTTATTGTCCTGATTTGATGACTTATCTTCTGTGTATATATTGAGTTATGACACTGTACTCTACAACTATGTACAAATGTTGTGTGCAAATTAAGTTTTTCATAAAGATAGTGTAAGAAAAACACAGGATTTCATAAAAAGGAAGTTCTAGAAGAAGGAGGAGAGCTACCTCAGGGGTTTGTACAAGTTTTTATGGTGCATGCAAAATATTGTCAGTGTTTGACATTACCAAACAGAGCAAAATACAAAAATGAACTCACATTCCACACACAGACACATCCACTTCTTCCTCCAGTATGGCGATTACCTTTGGCACCTTTACTTGCACCTCAAATTTGGGAAGCACTGTTGAAAGAGAAAAGAGAAATGGGGCAGGCTGGCAAGTTATTTTTGTTGTTCCCTAAATGATAAACCAGTGCTCTGGAATGGTGACTCTATACTTTGAAGGTAAAATCCAGGAAGTTGATAACATTGAGTGGTCACAGAGCATGTTTGTCCTTGGAAATCATAGAGGCTTCCATGGAACTAAGAAAAACATTTGCAAAATCCCAAAACTTTTATGAGTTTTCGTGTTCATGGGTGAGGTTTCTGGTTGGAATCAGATGAAGTCCAGCCTCTCAATGGAACTTGAACACATTCACATGGATTCACACCCCGGCAGCGAGAAGCTTATGAGACCTCCACTTTCCCTCCCCAGCCTTCCCAAACCATACCAAATTCATCCACGGTGAAGGAGTGCTCTGTTCTCATTCCAGATTGTATTAGTATCACTATCTTGTAGGAACCTAGAATGGGCTCTGATGACAGGCTGAAGGACAATTGCTTAAGACCATTCTCTGATTTGACATTCTGCCATTGCATAATTCGATTCCTTCTGGGATCCTGAATATAAGAAACTGGCTATTACTTATCAAAGTAAATAAAGAATTTACAGACAGTAATGCATTGAAGAATGAACTGCTGTATAGAATCATTTGGGAAAATTCTAATGTTTTTCCTTAAGCAGAGAGAGTTAGAGGCAAAGAGGGATACAACAACTCAGTTCTCTAGAATGTATGGGGATTTCAGATATGCACAGGCTCATTTTAATATTCATTGCCTTTGGAATATTGTCATGACCTTCCAAACAGCAGTTTAGTTTTAGTGCACTGGTTTCTCTCTGAATATGGAATACGTCAAATTTCTTACCTCAATGAAAACCAATGGAAACTATAAAGCAAAAGAAAAAGAAAGGTGAGTTCAGAAGTCTTCCTGATATGAATACAGCAAGCTCAAATAAACTTAAAGAACTGGACATTATGACTGGAATTTTAGCTAAAATTCAAGGAAATTAATGTAAAAAAGGGACTTGCGAGACACATCACCAAAGGAAGTTAAAAGTAGAAGCCCAAGAACTGACTGAATCAACTATGTTAACAGTAAAAAGGGATGTTAGAATGGAGATTTGGGGTGACCTTATGAATAAGTTTCTCCGGCATACTGTGTGATCCATCCCTAAACAAAGTAGTCATATAATTTGTTGTTCAAATCAAATAAATTTTTGGAGCATGAGAGGGGGCACTAATTTTAGTTTTTCCCAGGTAATTATAAGCTAGGGGCTGTTGCAGGAAACCAAGGTGAGTGCTTAGCCTTTTTTTAAAAAAACTTTCTAAAGTGTTATTGATTTGAAATGCAGAGAGAAAAAGAGAGAGAGAGAGATGTTCCATCTACTGGTTCACTTCACAAATGCCGGCAATAGCTGGAGTTGGGTCAGGCTGAAGCCAGGAACCCAGAACTTTATCTGGACTTCCCACTTGGGTGGCAGAGACCCAAGTACTTGTGCCACCACATTCTGCCTCCAAAAGTTTGCATTAACAGGAAGCTGGAATCAGGAGTGGACCTGTGACTCCAATCCAGGTACTCTGGAATGGGACTGCAGGCATCCCATATGATGTCTTCACTGTTGTGCCAAATGCCTGTCCCTTTAACTGGATCCAACACTCAAAACTGAAAAACGAAAGTCACTGAAAAAATATTTTTGGTAAAGTGCTTAGACCCAGGAGGATATTGAACAGACTAGCTGATAGAATAAAAAAGGGAGAGAATGATCCAACATGGGAAGTGAGATACACAGCAGACCCATAGAATGGCAGATGTCCTAAACAGCACTCTGGCCTCAGAATCAGCCTTTAAGGCATGTGGATCTGGCTGAAAAGCCCATGAGAGTATTTCAGGCATGGAAAGCCAAGACACTCTTGCAAAAAAAAAAAAAAAAAAAAAAAAAAAAAAAAAAAAAAAAAAAAAAAAAAACTAAATGAAAGATCTCCGCGAGTGAGATCCCAGTGGAAAGAACAGGTCATCAAAGGAGGTACCTTTCTCTGAAGGGAGGACAGAACTTCCACTTTGACCATGGCCTTGTCTAAAAATTATCAGAGTCAGTGAACTCAGGGGGCTTCCATAGCCTTGGTAGCTCATGACAAGAGCCTAGGGTGATTACTGATGCCATAAACAAGAGTGTCAATTTGTTAAGTCAACAACAGGAGTCACTGTGCACTTACTCCTCATGTAGGATCTCTGTCCTTAGTGTGCTGTACATTGAGATTTAATGCCATAACTAGTACTCAAACAGTATTTTTCACTTTGTGTTTCTGTGTGGGAGCAAACTGTTGAAATCTTTACTTAATGTATGCTAAACTGATCTTCTGTATATAAAGAGAAATGAAAATGAATCTTGATGTGAATGGAAGGGGAGAGGGAGTGGGAAAGGGGAGGGTTGCGGGTGGGAGGGACATTATGGGGGGGAAGCCATTGTAATCCATAAGCTGTACTTTGGAAATTTATATTCATTAAATAAAAGTTTAAAAAAATCCATAATTTAAAAATAATATGAAAGGCCTCAAATGTGCTCATTGCATGTGCTCATTGTAGCCCTAAATATTAATAGTTAAAAAACATGGAAATCAGTAAATGTACATTCATATTTATAAAAAAACAAAAAGAAGCAGGTGAAAAAGAATAATAAGGATAAAATAATAGTTCAGGAATTAGGAAAGAGAAAAAGGAAAGAATAAAACCATCTAAATTATCTTTGAGGAATAGAATTAAATGATTAGGGGCTAGCACTGTGGCATAGATATCCCATAAGATTGGCAGCTTGAGTCCCGGCTGCTCTACTACCTATTGAATCCTCTCTTAATGCTCCAGGGAAAGCAGTGGAAGGAGACTCAGTGCTGCCACTGATGAGGGAGACCTATATGGCATTTCTGGTTCCTGACTTTGGTCTGGCCTAGCCCCAACCATTACAGTCATTTGGAGGAAAAAAACAGCAGATGGGAAAACCTCATTCTCTCTCTCTCTCTCTCTCTCTCTCTCTGTCTCTCTCTCAACTCTGCCCTTCAAATAAATAAATAAATCTAAGTAAAAAGTAAATTATTATCCAACTTTCTTAGAAAAATGGGAAAAGGCAAGCCCAGAAATCTAGAAATAATAATTGAAATGATACAACAAATCTGAAATAAATATGACTCTTCATTTGAAGGCAAATAAATAATTTTCCAGGAAACATAAATCACCAAAATTTCCACAGAAAAGATATTAAGTAAAATATATGGGGCTGGTTTTGTGGCACAGTGGTTGAGCTACCCCTTGAGATGCCAGCATCCCATTTTGGAGTGCTGTTTTGCATTCCAGATAATTGGCTTCCAATTCAATTTCCTGCTCTTGAGCCTGGGGAGGCAGCAGAAGATGGCCTAAGTACTTGAGTGCCTCCAACCATGTGGGAGACCCAGATGGAGTTTCTGGCTCCTGGCTTCGGCCTGACCCAGTCCCGGCTGTTGTGGCCATTTGGGGACTGAACCAGAGGATGGAAAATCAATCTCTCTCTCTCTCTCCTCTCTCCCCATCCCCCTCTTCACCCCTGCTCCCAACTCGCTCTCTCTCTCTCTCTCTCTCTCTCTCTCTTCTCTTCCTCCTTTTTTGTCACTTTGCCTTTGAGATAAATAAATTTTAAAAAAGAAAATTAATTTCAGAGCTCACAATTAAGCACTTAAAGTAAATCTTCTGAACAATCTAATATGCAAATATAAATGCAAACATCACATACTATGTTATTAACATAATACCCTAGAAGGCCTCACGATTATAGCAGTTCACTCAGGCAGTACAGAAATTGTCCTATATGAGGACAAGCATTCACTTACTTGACAGCAGTAATAGCCTTACAGTCACAGAATGACCATGGTGTCATCTCTCTGGCAATCCTTGGTTCTCTACTTGTGTTAGGTTTACTGCGATTGATTTCAGATTTGTGGAAATAAAAATATTCCTGATAGTCTTTTTCCCCTTGCTCTCTACTGACCTTAGTTCCCCAAACCACTGATATTTTAAAAATTGGTGGAACAATTGAATTTAAGGATAATTTTACATATTTTTGTTGAACTTTATGGATCACACTTGTACACATATGTCAAAGACTCACCAGTTCATGCAGTGGTCGCAAATCTTTATTCACAGAGACAACTCGAAACTCAACTGAAACAGAGAATTTTTTCCTATGAGGACCAGAAACCATGCCTGTTGGGTGACAGGCGAGGGTGATTGTCTCCTAAGTTCTACAATGTTCCCACCGTGGATCTTCTTACCTGACTGGCTTGGCTTGTAGATTGGTTTGTCTGTCTGGACAAAAACGATGCTTTCTGTGTTCTTCACCCACACTGTGGAACTCTTACGAAGCTCATGTGTTAGTCCTCTTATCTTGAGCAAAAGTTCTCCTGTGTCCCCATGAAATGAGGATCTTGGGAGCTAAGAGCAAAAAGGCCATGAGAACCTCCATAATCTCTCCCGTGGGAGGCCTTAGTATCTAGTCTTTACCTGTTCTTCGGAAGCACAAGAAAATAGGAGGTAGGGTGCAGTATTTATTATTTAAACATAATGTAGAGCAGAGGAAGTCAGAGATGTAACAAATGAAATCTAGATTTCCATGTGCTTTCACAGTAGCGATTAAAACATAGTCAACATTGCAGAGTAAATATAATCAAAAAGTAGATTCAACCCCAAAAACCATGAAGGAAAAATGAATATGCTAATAGTGGTAAGAATGATGTCTTGAGGTTGTACTGGCTGAAGAAGAAACTGGAAATTTCCCCAGGATATCAATTATATATGAAAGACTGGGTCCCTGCTAGTTCTGATATATTTTAAAGTTTGCAACTCACTACCAGAAGATAACTCCTGCTTTCTTGGGCTAGTAGGACTTTTTAAAAGGGGAATTAAATAGAAAATTAGCATATTTATAAATGCTATTTTCCTTCATTGTAGGGTAGGAAAATCTACAATATTTTTTTCTTTTGTAGGGGTAGACTCTTTCTCTAGGTTTCTCTTTGAAACCTAAATTAACTCTCTGTTACTGAAAATGAATCTGCATGTCTCTGACCATTAGAATCTGAAGAAAGGAAGGAAGGGATAAAGGAAAGAAGGGAGGAAGGGAGGAAGGGAGGAAGGAAGGAAGGAAGGAAGGAAGGAAGGAAGGAAGGAAGGAAGAAGGAAACAAGGAAGGAAACAAAACTTAGATAGGTCATGAGTGCTCACCGTGAAGGAAACACAGTGGAATAAGTCCTTGTCAGCCACGAGGTCATCAAACAGTCTTCTTGTTCCACTATGGGACACTATGGAAGCACTTACAGTCACAGTCTCATTCAGGTGGCTCAGAGAGAGGCAGCTTTTCTCAGGAGTCTCAGTGTGAAGTGGGTAGGGGAACAGCATCATATACTGCCTGGAAGAGAAGAAGTTCAGGGCAGTAGAGGATGAATACCCATGATTGTGGCTTTATCCCACGCTTAGCTCTACACCTGGAGAAGGCAGACTAGCAGCATATAGCATGAGTGCATGATAAAGAAATGATTCAACCTCTTTTCTGATAGTGGCAAAAATTCAACTTAGTTGGTGCTACTGCACTCACAGTTGAGGGAGGTATGAAAGATGTGCTTACCTCACTCAACCCCCAACACTAAAATTCCTGAACTTAATATTTTTGTGAAAGATTTATTTATTTATTTATTTGAAAGCCAGAGCGAAACACAGAGACAGAGAGAGACAGGAAGAGAAAGAAATCTTCCATCAACTTATTCATGCCCCAAATGGTGCAACAGCCAGGGCTGGTCCAGGCTGAAGCTAGGAGCCCAGAACTCCATCTGGGTCTCCCACATGGGTGGCAGGGGCTCAAGTAGTTGGACAGTCATCTGTTGCTTTCCCAAGCACATTAGCAGGGAGCTAGATCAGAAGTGGAGCAACTGGGACTCACAGCAGTGCTCTGATATGGGATACAAGTAATGAAGAGACAGTTTAACCCATTGTTGCCACATGCCAATCCCCCCAAACTTAGTGTTTTAGAGAAGAAAATGGAAGGGATAATTATTCAGTACATTAAATAGTGAATTAAGATTACTCTCACTTGCCATATTTAATTCTTGAAGAGTAACCCAGTGCTCCCTATTGCACAAGACTGAATTTGAAATGTCTCATGATAAGTCAGTTAAGTGATGGATCTGTTTATTCACTTTAATTGACCATTCCACATTATAGACTCACATTAAAACATTTCATTGTACTCCATAAACATGCAATAACTACTTGACATTCAAAAAGCAAAAAATAAAAAGGAAGACTATTATAAGTGGAGATTTTGGGGGATGTTTGTTGAACCTACAAAGAAGGGGCATGTGAAAGAGGACCCTGCATGGTACTCATGGTACTCTGTAAACTGAAGCAGCTGCACACAGGAAGGCAAGAAGAATTAGAAAAAGACATGGCAGGGCACGTCTGCCTTTGTCCATGGTGCATAGTCAATGCAGGAGATTCTAGAATGTGCCGTCCTCCTCCTTTCAGTCAGCCTGGTCCCAGAAACTGCCCTGAGGCACTGGGATTTTGTCACTTTATGCAGACACAGTGTGTAGAATTTGGCCAGCATTCCCTGTAGGGGTCATTGCTCTTAGTGGTCACCAGGAGAAATCCTGATGGGCTCAGGAGCAGTGCCAGCATAGTTGCTGTTGGCAGTGAAGGGTTGTGGGGGTGGAAGTCCATGTCAGAGTCAGAACTGACTTCCTTTGTCTTTGGACCGGCTTTCTCACCCTCAGCAACTGTTGACATGTAGCTCTGAGAAGCTTTCATTGTGAGGTGCTGTCCTGTGATTGTAAGATGTTCTGCTGTATCCCTGCCTGTACTCATTTGAAGCCAGTAGCACTCCCCCAGCTGTGACAACCCAGATCATCTCCCTTCCTTCAAGGAGACCACTGACTTAGAAAGCCTTTCTAAGAGGTAATTAGTTCTCCCTTCTCTGGCCATTCATGTGCTACATCCATGGCTCTTTAAAACAAATGGTAAAGGAGAGACTGAATGTGGAACTCTGAAAACAGTTACCTAACCCATGTCACTATGCTGCAACTCAATCGCTAGAATAATATTTTTCTAACTCTCTCACATCACAGCTTAGTTGGAAACTGATGCATGCATAGTGTACAACCAGGCCAAAGCAATTTCTGGCAGAAAGATTATTTCTTTGAAATCTCAGGTATTACTCTTTGGGATATACATTAATCCTCTCTGTAATATATTAATGTACTAGCTGGGAAGTGAATTTGCCTTTTCCTTTTAGATGATATAGACTCCCCATTTTGCAGAGACCCAAAGAAAATGTTCCAGGGAAGGGAAATAAATTATTATCAGTGGAAATCTTGAAGTATTAAGTGGCAGCTGGTATAAAAAAAGGACAGTGGTGAAGGCTGGAGCTATGGCATAGCGGGCAAAACTGCTGCCCATGGTACCAGCATCCCACATGGACAAGGGTTCATGTCCTGGCTGCTCCACTTCCAATTCAGCTCTTTGCTAATACACCTGGGAAAGCAGCAGAAGATGCCCAAGTCATTGGGCCCCTTCACCCACAAGGGAGACATTGAAGAAGCTCCAGGCTCCTGGCTTTGGATTGCTCAGCTCTGGCCATAGCGGCCATTTAGGAATGAATCAGTGGATCTCTCACTCTGTCTCTCTCTCTCTCTGCCTCTCTGTAACTCTTCCTTTCAAATAAGTAAATCAATTTTTTAAAAAGATTTGTTTCATTTATTTGAAAGAGAGTTACAGAGAGAGGTAGAGACAGAGAGTTCTTCCATCCACTGGTTCACACCCAAGATGGGCTCAACAGCAGGAGCTGCACCGATCAGAAGCCAGGAGTCAGGAACCAGGAGCTTCTTCTGGGTCTCCCACGTGGCTGCAAGGGCCAAGGACTTGAGCCATCTTTCACTGCTATCCCAGGCCATAGCAGAGACTGGATTGAAAGAGGAGCAGCTGGGGCTAGAACCAGGGTCCATATGGGATGCCAGCTCTACAGGCCACTTCAGGCCACGGCTTTAACCCAATTGCCACAGCGCCAGCCCCTAAATAAATAAAATTTGAAAAGACAATGGTAGGAAGGTATGTAGGGTGAATCAAGAAGATGAAAGAGGAACTAAAAATTTTCTCTATCGATTGCTTACCTCAAAATGTTCCAGTCAATCATAAATAGAAAAGTTCCACAATTCTGTGAACCTGTTATTTCCAACTTCACGTATTATAATAATTGCATTTGTTCATTCATTCATCCAATAGTAGTTTAGTACTAAAATCAATACATGTGTTGTACTTAGGGAACATTTCAATAAGGTAGTGTTTTTAATCCTTGAGGATAATGGATGATGTTATAGATATAATTCCATGAACTGGCAATATATAGTAAATGCAAGAACACCCAAACAGGGTACTGAAGAGCACCAAGGAGAGCATGTAACCCAGGATTCAAAACTTGGAGAGCACTCCTTGTAAGCTTACAATGAGTGACTTGATGTTGTTCAGATGAGGGTGATGAACTACGGGTCCAGGAAAAAGCACCGAGGAAGGCATAGAGAAAAGAGAAACTCAGCATATTTTGAGACTGGGAGGTATTTCATGAGAGCAACACTGAGTCAAGCCAGCATTTGAATGTAAAGAAGCCTGGGGGCAGCACGTTTGATTATAACCTGAGAGGGTTCAAGCAATGAAGGGATATAATAGGAGTTCTGTTTTAGAATGATTCCTGTTTTGGTGGTTTGGAAATGATGGGACCACTAGTGCAGTTATCTAGATGAGTTCTGGCAGCATCCATAATGAAGATAAGGGTGTTAGGGATGGCGAGAAATGGAGAATTAATGAATTTTTTAAAAGAAAAAAGTCAATGTGACGTATTGAATCATCAGATGTTTAGGATGGAAAGGAGGAACATAATTAAAGAATTATTTCCAGGCCTTTTGCTTTATTTAGTTGGGTTGATTCTAATGTTTTCTGATGACAAGGAGGCACAACAGGGGGGTTTAGGGTTGTCTGTGGGTGTTGTGATGAACGAGTGTGGTCTGGTCACATGTGCCTGGGCATATCTGCCATTCAACTGGATATGCTGGGCCAGAGTTCTGGAAAGAGCCAATGGCTGGAGAAACAAATTTGGAAGTAATCCTTCATATTTGGGTGATGTTAGCTACGTGAATGGGTATAATCTTTTCTATATAGTACATACAAGAGGCCAAACCTAGAATAGGGTTCTGAGAAACAAGGATGTTTAAGGAGACACAAAAGAAATAGCCAAAATGGTAGGAGAAAAATCAGGACAATGTGGTATCATGCAAGTTAAAAGTGAAAACAAGGCATAAAAATTTAAGAGGTGAAAAAAATAAATAAAGATCATTGAAAAAATAGGCCATTGTAATGTTTGTTATTTATTTTTCTTGAGTCAGGTTAATGAGATATAATCTACATATAGAAAATTCATCTTTTATTGTGCAGTTCTATTTTTATTAGTTTCTAGTGCTTTTATTTTCCAAACTATATATCACAAAATTTATCCTTCCAACATTTCAATTTATTTGTTTACTTTTTTATTTATTTATTTTTTTGAAAAACAAACATAGAAAGAGGAACAAGGAGAGATCTTCATCCACTGCTCCCATCCCTAGCCCCCAAGGCCTGCAACAGCCAGAGCTGGATCAGGCCAAAGCAAGAATCTGGAACTCAACCCAGTCCTCCCATGTGGATGACATGAATTCAGCTACTGGAGTCATCAGCTGGTTCCCCAGTGCATGCATTAGCAGGAAGCTGAATCAGAAGTAGAGAAGCTGGCATTTGAACCAGGCACCTCGATAGGGAATATGGGTACCCCCAGCAGTGTGGTAACCACTTGGCTGAACTCCTGCTGCCTTCAGACATTTTTGGTACAACTTTTAAATTGCATCAAATATCTTCACCTTATCATGCAGCTGTCATCACTTTCCATTTTCAGAACCTTTTCATCATCTCAGGCAGAAACTCCAACCCCTAAACCAGTAACTTCCTATTCTCCTTCTCCTACTATGATTTTTGGCAAAAACATATGGTCTGATGACTTCCACCATAATCAAGATAGACAGACCTGTTTTATTACCCCCAAAGGGAGATGAAGAGAGGGACTTTAAGATACTTCAGGGGAGATGTCAGGGGGCTTACACATTGATGAGAAAGACCCCCTACAGAAGGGGAGGTAGGAGGAGAAGGAAGCAGTGGGTGGATCTCGTGTCTGGGATAGCGATGATAAGATTCAGAGAAAAAGTAGATGCTAGGAAGTAGTAGTGCAGCCCTTCACTGGAACAGAAAGTTCCTTGCCTGAAATAGCACTTCTTCAGCTATCTTTCCTGGTTGGGTCTGAGGAATGCAATACTCTGGGTATCTCACTGAACTGGAATTCCTAACAGAGCTCCAGAACTTGCTTTGGACTAAGTTCTTAATATTTATTCAATTCTTGTGCGTTTCCTAATTTAACTCTCCCAATGACTTTATGACATCAGTGTTGTTATCACTGCTATGTTGTGTGGTAAGGTAACCTCCTGGAGATTTCATGCTACTTAGTCATAGAGTTAAGATCTGAATTCTGATGATGTGGATACAGCGCCCAAGCTGTTCAGCACCATTTCACTGTCATGGGCCTTGTTTTTTTCAAGTTTATTTATTTTTGTTCATCTAAGAGACAGAGAGAGGTTAGGGAGAGAGATTGAAAGAGAGAGACAGAGAGAGACCTTCCATCCACTAGTTTACTCCCCAAATACTCAGCAATAGCCAGGAATTAGGAACTCAATCTGTATCTCCCACCTGGGTCCCTGGGACCCAGCTACTTGAGCCATCACCTGCTGACTCCCAGGATGCAAATTAGCAGGAAGCTGGATCAGAAGTGGAGGCAGCACTCAATCCCTTGCATTCCAATACAGGAGACAGGAATTCTAAGAGGCAATGAAACCTGCTCCCCCATACTATCCACCCCTCTCACAGGCTTCTCTGATGAAGTGATCTTTCATTTTAGCCGGAACTGCAGCTTTGTGAACACTAACACTGGTGTGACATTTCCCCTGGCTTGCAATCAAGGTTGTATTTCATGAGAAGTCTTAAAAAGTATGTTATAAAGTGCAGAATAGGACAAGGATTGAGAATGTAGTAGTGATAGCTAGATTGCCAGGATCCAACTCCTGGCTCTTCCAGTTTACTTGTTATCTGTAAACTTCCCTTTCTCAACCCTCCAATGTGGAGAGAGGGAAGAAGGTAAACATGGTTATCCTCCTAGAATTGTGCCTACGAGATACATGGAATTGGATCTATTTATATTAATAAAATCTTTAAACAACACCAAAAGCCAATGTGGATAATGCATCCTGTAGGATTGCTGTGTGTGTAACAGGAGGTCAGGTCTTGTTCTTTTCAAGTTCAGGACTCCAGGGAAGTAAGCAGTAGGAGTTAGGAGTCCTCCCTTTCCTCTGCCTTCCATAGTAACAGTCATGATTACCAATCTCCAAGGCTAATAAGGCAATAGTTGCAAGTCTGCTATCAATAATA